GTCGGGCCTCAAGATCCTACGCGGCCACGAGTCATTTGCAGGGCCTTGAGGAGTCTGAGCACCTTGTGATTGCGGGCCTCTCTCACGGACTTGGCCTTGAGGGCCCCGTGAAACCGGACAGGTCATGTAACTGGAGAAAGAGCTTCGGCACAGTGGACACTTCTCGTCACGCAAAGAGCGTAAGCAGGAGTGACAAACCGAGCAGTGGCGGCAGGGTAGCAGAACCACATTCTTGGGACGCGCGTAGCAAATCATACAATCGCTTTCACCCGCGTCTTCGAAGCCGTAAATCCCCTGAACATCGAAGACAATGTTCGACTCGCCAAAGCAGAACTGTCGAAAGATTTCAGCTGTGTGGTAAGGCGAATTGCCCTCGTTCTGTGTTCTTGATTGAAATTTGACCAAGGATATCTGCCCTTTGGTTTCGAGCACGGAGCGGCCTTGCATTGCATGTGCTGCGTTGCCAGACCGCCCCGATGAAAGAACTACAATAGCCAGTGGAATGATTGTTGGAAGCTCTATTGCATTTCCCGATTGCCCGGGCCGAAGCCAGGATGCACCCATGTCAAACTTCAACACACCAGGATGAATCAAATCTCCAGCTGGTGTAACGTAGCGCTGTCCACAACCGGCAGGCAAAAAGAAATCTCGCGACTGTGCAAAGAAACTGCTTGAAGTAAAAGGCGGTTCTTCGCTTGCGTCAGTCGCGGAAGGCTGGCTAGCAGTCCAAGTGCTTGCAGAAGTCTCGGCAGCTCCGGACGTAGCTGCACTTCCGAGTTCTTCCATCTCAAGGAGTGACCTTGTTGTCTCTGGATTGGCACATGCTGTTCGCCCTGTCCATCGCCCTCTTAGGCTTCGCAGCGCACTGCTTGTGCTGGCATGCCGCCTGGTCGAGTGCTCAGGTGCTTGGCTGCGCTGCACGAACTCACTGCAAGCTTGTGCACTTAAACCCCAGTACAACCTCACACAGCAAGGCGCCGATGCATCGATGTCGAATTCAACGCCAAAGCCCATTGGTCCGCCTCCTGAGTCCTCTTCCCCTACCCACAAGCAACTGATAGACTCAGGGTGCACATGGGTCGTGAGCTCATGCCTGGTCACTGGCTTCGGGGGCACGGTCCTCCGTAAGCGGAGGATTTGGTTGAAATGCTGCCGGATCAGCATCTGAAAATCATTTACGTAAATGCTCATCGCTTCCAACTGCAAGGACCGTGCTCTTGACAGTCGGACATTCAGCTCGACTGCTCGAGCAAGTTGGTACACCACCTTCGCAACCCAGGCCACGACCAGGGCGAGAATTCCGAACACGAACACATTGTGAAAGTCTCTGTGCAGCTTGTCTGGCTTTGGGGCCAACTCTGTGGATGCAAAGGCTCCACACAGGCATGCCGTCCAAGCTATAGAAAGATGAGCCCTGTTGCCCATGATGTGCTGGAACCTGCACCAGACTCTGTGGATCAGGGCAACATGCTACGCGAGTTGCTTTATCTACACTATCTAGGCCTCCAGCCAAAAGGCCTGCGGAAAATCAATGCACTTCAGTTTAAAATCTGTCACGTGACACCTTCTTGAAATCAGACTGAAAACCCTTAGCCAAGGCTCTTGGAGGGCTTGTCATGGCTCGAACCACGACGAACTACGCCATGCCTATTCTGCAACTTTCGGATAACCCGACATCCTAAGTCCTAAGTACACTGTGTTTTCTGATACGATGAGGCCAAGCCGTGACGATTTGCCCATTCGTTGCATGCTCGGCTTGGCCAGACCTTGCGAGATCTGGCCTAAACTTCTGAGTGAACGGCCTGTTCCGTGCGATGCATGAAGTCAGCGCGTGACAACTTACTTGCATCACCCTTTGAAGCATGTTCGGGCCAATTCGCAACTTAAGCCAGCTGCAGTAGAAAATCCGAGATCCAGAGCAGTGATGGTGGTCATCAAACGCAACTGAGTCAGAAGGGCGCCTGCAAGATTTCGGGTGCTAGCTGGTCCTGATAGTTGGAAGATGCCCACGAAGCACAAATCACACACCCATACACACACTGTGATTTTCTCATATGTGCGGCCACTGAGGTGTCCTGAGGCAGCTGTACCCAGACGGGCGTATCCTTCCATAGAGAAGAGTGCCCCGTAGCAAGTGGCAGTTCAGCCAGAAACTTCCAAGATCGGCACCCGCATCAGAGCCTTCGAAGACCTGAACACTCAAGTCATCGGACATTCGCAGGAGCAGGCCAAGAGCTGACTTCTGCATGCTGCTGGTCTTCCATAGCCATGTATAGCCATAGCCACCCACTTGCTGCTTTTGCGATCCGCAACGTTTAAAAGCCGGTAACTCGTCAAAGGGGAACAGCTCGAACACTCTACGGCGGAACGCTTCGATGAGAGGTGTCCCACCTGTTTGCCACAATCGGGCCACCCTTCTTCCCCTGAGCCTGCGCCTGTCACGCCAAAGGTCTTCAAGGCTTTCCTCTCCACAGAAAGGCATGAGCCACAACAGCGCTCCTTGCCACCTTTGTGTCCACCTCCTGTGCGGGCCATCTATCTCCACTTCACAGCCACATGCGGCACCCTAGTCACTATCAAGCTACTGATTGACATTTTGTGATTTCGGAGCTTTGTCTTACACATCTGTCGGTCAAGTCGTCTGTCCTTTCTTGCCAGGCTGAGGCAGAACCTTTCGTGGTGCTGGAGTCTCTACCTAGCAGACAAGGGCGAGCTCAAGATGTGCACTGCGGATGACTGCGAACAGCACCACGGCTACCAGCCGCAACTACTGCGTAGGTTGAAGCCTCAGGAAATCAGACAACTAGACTGTAGCTAGACCAGACGAAAAAGGGATCAACGCAGCGAACAGAGCAAAAGCTAGATGGATTGGTACTAGTAGGGTGGTGCTGTTCCAGTCGTCATGTTAGTCATGTTCACAAGGGCCTACCTAAACGCATGGGTCAGTTCGACAAAGCTGGTAGCTCGGTAATACACATCCCTAGCGGTTCTCGCGTTCACGTTGCAGAACATATGAAAAGCAGCCCGTGCAGGGTAGATTGCACTCACAGACGTCTGGCCTTCGGCTTTTTGAGAGCCTCGGTGCCAGAAGGTCAAGGTGAAAAAGCACTCTTCAATGCGCTTATGCAAACATGTTTCTCTCGGCCGTGCAAACTTCGATACACGTGTCTCGTCAATTCTCATCCTGTGGTTTCCACTGCCTCGTCTCCTTCTTCGTTGTCTCTACTGTATCGTCCAGCAAGGAAGAAACCAACCCTAGTGGTCTCAGCAGTCTGACCCTGAGCCGCCGTCTTTGAAAACTTCTGAACCAAACTCTCCATTCCCACTGCCTGTCTTGGCTCCAAGCCGGTTCCTCCACCATTGCCTCTGGCATCGAGATGCCCGCACGCGGCAAAGCTCCGCAAAGGCACGCAGGGCGCTGAGACTGCGGCACCCGGAGTCCCTGCCGTCTGGGCAAATTCTACGAAGTCGGGATACCTCCCGAAGACTATCACATACTCTTGCGTGTCGCCGAAAAATGTCGAGTCGCACCCTAGCACTTCCACGAGTCAAGCTGGCGCTGCGTTTCCCCCCTTCGTAGGCTTCACGCGCTGCAAATCGATCAAAGTCGCCGGAGCTGGCAACTAGGGCAACACCTTGTGTCGAAAGAGAATGAAGCCGCTAGGGCTGCAGCATGCTGTCGTCGCAGGCTGCGTTAGCGGTTAGCAATAATGAAATGGTTTGGAGTGCTCGGACCACAGCTCAACGCGAGCTTGCAAGCCAGCCTTGGCAGGCATTGTCTTCTAAAGAGAGAGAGAGAGAGAGAGAGAGAGAGAGAGAGAGAGAGAGAGAGCAGCGAAGCGACCGGGCAGCAAAGCTTAAAGCGGAACGGAGCAAAGCCTTCAGAGGCCTCGGCTCCCGCACCTTCCAACCACCAGCGAGGCCAACTGCCCAGATGCCCTCAGCGTCAAATCCCACATCGCATCCATTCCGGATTTTTTCGGTCAGGCTCTGGCTGCCGAGGGCACGCTGGCAACCTTGCAAGACGGATCATACACGCGCGAGCCAAGTCAGAGTTCGACAGTCTCGGAATCAGGCTGCGTAGCAGTTCTCCTCACCTCCAGCCTGCTTGATAGCTTCCGCCATCTCCGGCATCACCTCCTACAGGCAAAGTAGGGTATACACTTTTTTCGCATTAAGCGGCTTCTAATCTGCACTGTCCCAGTCGGGGTCGTGGGTGAAGACGACCTCACTGCCGACGTCACCCAGCACCTTCTGTAGAGAAAGCAGCGTTGAATCGTCAGGAAGCTCAAAGACCCCGTCTGAAATCCCAAACTGCCGAAGCTCGACACATGCATGCGCATGCTCTGTCACATTTTCTGTTTCCAGGCGCGAGTCACTTCATCGAGGAGTCTTTGATCCCTGGTGCTTCAGCGCGAAGCCCGGGTGCACTGTGCATAAAGCTGCGCAGGTCAGGGAGCTGAGGTGATGTACATGTTGAACAGCCAACTCCAAAGCAACCTTTGCATAATTGCGACGACAGTAGGTCACCGCCTGGGACGTCCGAGCCCGACCCTTCCACGGCAGGCGAACAGACCTGATACGTATCTAGGGACGGGAGGCAGTGGCGTAGAGGCAGGCAGCAGGCTGAATCAGAGTTGTATCTGACAGGATTTCGTTTAGTTCGTGATCTACAAGACACCTCGTACAAGCACATACAAGCACAGCTGCACCTCACGCCAATGCGGCAGGTCATACGTGTAAAGACTAGTGCTGTCATTGGCTGCAGAATATGTACATGAGAAAGGGCAAAGAGAGACGGCAACATGATTGTTTACAGCAGCTGTCGATGCATTCTGTACAGTTGCTCGCTACCTTTGTGCTTTCGCATCACAGGGGCATCTGAAACCCAGGCATGTTTCGCCGTCTGCTCGATTGCAGAGTCTCAAGATGCATGTTCGCTTGGCTGCCGCAGCACCAGATGGCTGATGAACCCGATGATTAGGGCCGTTTCCATGCCCCTAGGTGCTCTGAAGGTTTGTTGCCGTTGTCACGATACCACCAGATACCTGCCAATGCCAGGTAAAGCTCGCGGCCGTGGGCCACTTGGAAGTGTAACAGACTCTTCCGACAAAATGATTAGGCGAAGCTCCAACCAAACAGTGGGAAAGATGGATACGAGCAAAGACTGGGCAGGTTGGCATTTAACCCCCTCAAACAGCATCTTCCTGCCTGCTCAAACTTGCGTCCACCGTCTCGGCATGCCATGCGCAATTTCCCCGCAATGAAGACGATGGAGCCCTCGTGCATGGGAACTTCTTTGCACGCGTCGACGACAGATTAACTTTACACAGACCCCTGCGAGAGGCGGTGCAGCATGCTGCAAGCCTAGTTTTCCTTACTCAGCATTTGCAACGACATCGGTGTGACATGTTTGCTGGGCTACATGGCAATCTTTCCGAAGCCGGATTCCCAAGGTCTGATGATTTAAGCTGACTTCTACCTGCTTGCGTGGCATGTTCAAGTCGGCCTGGTCGCAAACGCTGATCCCGACTTCACAGTCCTGAAGTGTGCACTCATCCTCCATGGTCAGCTGGCCGCCCATGTAACAGATGCATGCGGTAGTCGCCTTAGACCATTTGCAGGACCCCCTTCCACAACGGGAATCTGAACACGTATACAGGCACAATGACTAACCGGTTGCTCACAGTGCGATGAAGTCTCATGAGTGATTTCTACACGTTTCAGCATGCAGTGAGGCTTCGCGACACCAGCCGTGAAGGACGCGGCATCAGGCCCGACAACAACTCCAAATCCTGCATGACCCTGTTTCATTCGTACCTCGCAATCAGCCACAAGGCAGATGCCTTTCTGAACCCGTAAAACGGAGTCACAGACCCCGGAGGGTCTGGCAGCAGTGGCTCCCGAGCCACACAAGATGCAGTTTTGAATCTCAACGCAACCATCGACGTCGAGCGCGACTTCTACGTGTCGTAGGCGAAGCATTGGGAGGTATGCCTTCCACTGGCCGGGAGGTTCTGGGGCCTGCCAGCGCGAACCTGCAAGGAGCACTCTGAGCATGGCACTGACACACGTTGACACCTCATAAACCGAAAACACAATTCCGAGGCACAAAACAATCATCAACTCGGCCAGAGGTGCGGAGCTCAATTTCACCTGCACCAGTCAAGACGGGCAGCGGCAGTCCGATGATCTTCACAGCCTGAGACGGGCTACGAAAGAGGCTCTTCAGGGAGTCTGGCGAAGCATGGCGTGCCAGACTGCAACGAAGGCTTATACAGGGCAAGTTCTGTCTTCTTCGCGGGCCTTCCTAATGCACACACTCTGCTCGGCCGTCGAATGCTGCTGTGCAGATGGAAGCAGCGCAATCACGACATGCTGTGGCCGTGGCACCTGTGCCGGGGACATTCTCAGAGCGGTCACAGCTGTTCGACGCGACACGTCATATTGCGCGAATGGAGTGCTGTGCTCGCTGAAAGCAAAAACGAACAAATCGGTGACCGGCCGCCTTTTCGCTCCACTGCTCTGCAACCGCGACAGCCTGGCAAAAATCCTCGACCACCTGCACCTCTTCGACATCGTCTCCCATGCCGCCCGCATGCACAAGACAGAGCCATGCACCTGCAAAGACAACTTCAAGAGAGTGCAGAACAAGAGGATGGAATTGAAAACTGCAGTCCGTGCCCGTGCCTTCGATCTCCTGCTGGTGGAGCAAGTCCAGCCAAGAGCGGCATGTGCTTGGAAGCTGGATCTGATTTGGAAGATGCAATAGCTCCTCGGCCAGTGGCAAGCCGCAGCGCAGCCTTGCGGCTAGCTGCACCACCGGCATCTCGGGCTTCTCCAACTCTGCTCCGGAAGAGGGGCTGCCCCGACACCTCCATGGAACGGTGATCTGCTGGAAACCACGGCAGCAGCTGGCTATGGCTCGCAGTGCTGCAGCATCCGCATGCAACAGCACAAGGAGCCAGATCTCGGGTCGGAAGAACTGTATGAAAGCATTCCAAGAAAAATCTTGGGATCTGCCAGCTTCAATGATCTGCCCGCTCGCATCCTGCTGCATGCCTTTCTTACGCTCCTGCGCAAAGAATTTCCGCCACTGTGCATAGGTGAATCGCCCGCCATAGCACTTCGAGTCAGTGTACAATGGACCAGGAATCTCCTCCAGGAGTTGAGGCTTGATCTGTGTCTCGCCTGACCAGGTGCTGGACCGCCACAGGATGTCATCATCCTCCGGGATCTGCAACGGTCCTCTCTGCCCTGTTTTGGAACCGCTTCCTGACATGTCCTGGTGCAAACCTCCGGCTTGGGCCATGAAAGAAAAACGAATATCATCAGGTCCCACATGAACAGTGCGCAAGCTGGACAGCAAAGCTGTAACTGCGAAGTGCGCATGCCTCTTGCAAGACGTACTGGCCATTTCTGAAGAGATCCTGTGACGGGTATAAGTAGGTCGAAGGTTGTCTAACACAGTGCGACACCTGCTGCAGCTTAAATGGCCCGTGTCATCGAGTCATGCTCTTCATTCAACTCGGCCCACCAACACACAGAGCTTGGACAAAGCGTTAAATGCTGTACGATGCCGTTCGGCGCCGCCATGGACCAGGGGTCTCTATGTAGCAGGCACCCCTCATTCTTATACGGTGAGAAGGTGGTGACATGTCTCTCCACATCTCTGTGCGGACAGACAGCCAGCTGAAAGTCGGGAACGCGCGCAAGGCTCACATGTCACTGCACCACCACCTCCCCACCCCACACCCCGGAAGCCGGCCGCTAGCCACAAGAACCAGGCACTTGCCGGCAGACACAGACCTGCCCAGAGCTTCGGGCGACCTGAGCCCTGTGGACAAGTGGCCCGAACCCCGATGGCCAAAGCTTTGGAAAAGAAGAAGCAGTCAGCGTTCTTAGAAGCTTGTCGTGCAGAGTGCAATGACTGCAACGCAAGCCAGGGTTGCCGCGAACTGCTTGTCGTGGTAAACACACAAGCCTTCCGCAGGCAGTCCTTCCTAGGCAATGGCCACTCGTTTCCGCGTACTAGCAGAGACTCACGTTTGTGCTGGACAGACCTGCACGAGACCTGCTGTGTTGTCCAGCGAAGCCCAGACGAATTTGGGGAATCCTGCAAGAACTTGTAGCAACTACCCACAATTCCTTGGCCTCGACTGCGAGAAACAGGCACTGGCAATGCCTCCACCAGCCGGAGCAGGAGGAGCCTCAGGAAAGACAAACCGTCTCAACCTGCAGTGGCCCCAGCCCTGCATGCCTTGCATGGGCCCGAGTGGTGATTTCAAGGCTGGGACGGACCAAGAGTTCTGCTTAGGACTTGATTGCCACTGTTGGGCCTGGGCCTGTCAAAAAGTGACAACGGAGTGCACGGTTCAAGAGCCTATAACAAGAGCTGGTAAAGTGATGGAGCTCCTCAAAGAAATGGAAAAATAAGCCAGCTTGTCGCGACAAGCTCGTAGCAGTTCTGGATGTCTTCACGCGTCCGCCGTCCGATTCGTGGCCGTTCTCAGCTTTATCGTGCTCCCTCACCTTGATCCTACACTCCAGGTTTCTGCCAGCTCCTACATTCTACACGTTGGGGACGAATTTTGTACCTTCCGACCCGCTGTGCTTCTCCTTGTTCTTTCGCGTCTGTACCTGTTCAAACGAGGGCCCACACCCCACACCTCACGTGCATTTCTCGCATTATTCCTGTATGTTTCTTGCCTTTGGTATGCTGAGCAGTTGTAGAAGATGATTCGAGCGTTTCTATTCTCCGAGGACACCGTCATTCTCCTCTGAATCTGCTTGTTGCCACTTCCAGCCCTTCACCCGAATCAGCAACAGCTGCATTCCACCACAACTTGCAGAAGCACCGAGGGCCTGTGACGCATTGAATGCCTCGTTCGGCAGTTCGGCAAAATGGAACAAAAGCGCACGGGCTCGCTCTGCCAAATTCATATACTTCATTGACAAATCGAAAGTACCTGTACTGAGCTCGAAGCACTTCTCTTTGGCGGGCCTTTGATGCAAGCGGAAGTCGCAAGTCCCCTAGTTGCAAACGAGTGTAGAATCGGATCTCTGCGGTACGACTCAAATCAATACACCTCATGTAGGAACCACGACACCTTCTTTCAGGAAAGCTGCAACTGTGAAAGTGGGCTGGGGTTCTGAGTTGCCGATTTGTGGGTGGCGGGGACACAGCCCAAAGCGGCACGTGCCTCTTGAAGGCAATAGGCCAGCTTCGGCCACCATTACCTGGTCGAACTGGCTCATGCGGCAATCGCCCGGAGGAGAGGAATACGAAATAGGGTAGTGAGATGTAGAGAGTAATAAGCGGACAGTCGGAGCCCAGAGCGAGTGCAACATCTGAGGTTGCTGCCCTGAATTCCGGATAGTTCTTGCAGAAATTCTCCAGCTCATCGGGTGCTGGTCAAGGCAGGTTTGGAAACCCCCGGCATGCAATTGCGTCAAGGACTCGCGGGCGCACATCGGTCGGCCAGCAAGGAGAAGCCCAGAGCGAGCTTCACAGCAGTTTCGCGGCCTGACATCCCATCATTGCTCTATCAGATTCGGATCTGCGGCCTTTGCAGGCCTTTCCAGCCATTCGCAATGCCAACTGCCTCAGCAACTCTCTGAAGAGTAATTGGCAACACTACAACAAACCCGCCTCAACTGGCATTCAGGCCAACATGCTTGTTAAAGCGTCTGCCTTCACGCTACTGCCCGTCGTGTTCACTACGTGGGACGGATTTTAAATGACTGCGTCGTCTGCCATCTGCCTCCAGAGGTCGCTTCACCCTGCCGTAAACGTGAACTATCCCGACTATCCCAAGTATGAACCTGGGGGACCCGAACATGCACATGCACACTTTCGAGTGTCCTCTACGATGATTTTTTAAAGGGCGTATATCTGGGATTATATAGTGGGGGGTAGAACGTTTCAGGCTCGATACTCAAGGAGGGATGCTACGACAAATACATTTGTGGCATCTGGGATGAGGTTCTGCAATGCATAGTTTGAATTTTTCTCTCTCTCTTCTTCCCCGGGGCATGAGGGGGTTTCGAAACCCCTCGGCCTTGTAGGCCCCCCCGATGTTCGTGGGGCTTTCGGAGGGGTGTGAGAAAATGCATATTTCCCGCGGGTTTTTAACGTGACTACGAATACGTAACATGAGTATTTTCACATAAGTTAGGTTCTCTCTCTCTATCTCTCTCTCTCTCTCTCTCTCTTCTGCAAACTCTCGGACAGCTCGGCGATCCCTATTTCGCAGGGGCTGGCAGCACCGCCGACCCAACAAGCACGGCAAAATAAACAAGCTGGTCGTGGAGGGTCCTTCTTCCCTCGGCCAGGCAATCCCTCCACGTGTTCTCGAAGCACATCCCTGGGATGTGTCAGGATTTCTGATGTCTTCCGAGGAGATTGTTCCTGCAGATTCCTAGAACTGAAGTTTTCGAAAATGAAACTTAAACATTTCGGGTCCTTAGCTGTCAAGAGAAAACTGAAAATGTGGAGAACCTAACTGTACGAATTCCTGCATAAAATCTGAAAACTGTCAAAGAAATACTAAAAGACATCGACAAAGAAACAAAAAGAGCAACAACTAAGAAGAGTAAGGCTTTTCTTGAAAACACGAATTCGTCAATAGTTCTTAAGCTTGACCATTCTTGATCAGACGTCAGCAGAGTAGGCGCATATCTAACTTCAGTGTATAAAATATGTCCACGCCACTGGCAGCCGCAGAAGTTATGAGTTAGCTTAAAAAGAAGCTGAGAATTACCTCTAACTAAGGGCAGAAAAAAAGCTATTGCAATTGTCTGAACTCTTTTATTACTTATCAAGCATATTATTTAGTGACACACCAGTCATATCCACAAGGTTATTTTCAAGGCCCTGCACACCCACTAAGCACGGGAAACTGGACAAACTTGTGGTGGAGGGTCCCGATGGCATGAGCCACCGTTCGATTTACAGGTTTTCCAAGCAGCCTGGAAGCACATACATGGATAAGTCAGGAGTTCTGGTTTCTTCCGTGGAGATTGCGGATTCGCTTTTTCCGTGGAGATTGCTTCTGGGGATTCCTAGGGTCCTAGAAAAGGACCAGCACTCGTAGTGGATGGTCCCGATGGCCTCAACCAGGCCAAAGAATTGCGGCTTTCCAAGCAGTCTGGAAGCGCTTGCCTAGAAGATGTCAGCATTCTTGCTCGGTTCTGGTACTGTTCCTGGGATTCCTTGTTTTTGCTTGGCACGCCCGTTGGTTTAGCCACCGGTCTCACACAGACCCCTACAGCATGGACTTCACCACCACTGAGTCTACAGATTCAACCCGTAAAGAACCAGATTCATTGTTCACATGGACTTTCGACCAGGCCTTGTTCATGCAATAGCTGGGGGGGACATAACAATCAATGTGCGACGAGGACATGCCGACCGAGTGTCAAGCCCACCTGCCCTGATTCGGGCAGGTTCCGACGCCTTCACGACAAATTTGGCATGCTATGCTCAAAGCTGCAACTGCTCGTCAAAAGGCGAGGCTCCAACTGAAGCACAGCTCCTCGCCGCCTTCGACGGTTTTGGCAGATGCTCTACAACGACACGCTTAGCAGTCCGGGTTCCGAACAAGAGGTAGCATATGCGACCGTAACGCCAAAAATCTGGGGGCCTGCATGTCTTATGGACTCCCCGATTTCTGGAAAAATGTCCCACTCCTGGCAGCAGATTGATGCCACATGCCATGCAGCAGTTGCTGGTGACAGTAGCTTACTACCAGCTTAACCAGCAGCCGTCCGTATCGTGGTGTATCTCCACCTCCACACCTTTGGTCAGTCATGCATTGGTGAGAATGACATAAGATGACACGGCGTGTCTTAAAGGCCGTCGAAATTGACCACTATGAAGTTTCTGAAGGCCGCAGCTTATGTCACCCACAATCTCCTGCAGTATTGAGTGCGCCTCAGAACGTGTATTTGGAACACCTGTGCACATCTCACCGCGAAGCGTGGACTGGGCAAGGAAGTTTAAGCAACCGGCGGAGCTGAACACATGCATTGACTTGTCGTAAACAATGGCAGGTGCCTGAAGACAGCACGCTTCCAAAGCAACTTGGGTCAACTCAGGATATGCGCACCTCTGGAGGAAATCCTTGCGTAGTCAACTGTGACTCCTGCACATGCTGACATTTCAAGATGGCTTCGAGAGCCGGAGAGCCTTTCAAAAATTGCCGCAACGGTTTTGCATCGCGACTTTACACATCTTGTACAGCTTCGCATGCATGCGCACACATGTATATATACATATATATATTTGTATAGATATATATATATATAGATATAGATATAGATATAGATATTAGATATAGATATAGATATAGATATAGATATAGATACAAATATAGATATAGATATAGATATAGATAAAGATATAGATATAGATATAGATATAGATATATATATATATATATATATATATATTAAACATACACATACACATGAATGGAGGAATGAATGAATGAATCAATCAATGAATGCGCGCATGAATGCATACAATGGATGGATGGATGGATGGATGGATGGGTGGGTGGATGGATGGACGGATGCCTGCCTGTCTGCATGCATGCATGGATGCATGGACGCATGGATGGATGGAGGGAGGGAGGGAGGCATAGACGGATGGATGGTTGTACACATATATGCATCTGTGCATGTGTGCACATATGCATGTATGCACCGGGTTGGCTCTTGGATTCATGTCTGCATCGCGTAGGCATGCTTCGTTGTTCGACACCCGAATTCCTGCCTGGCAAGACTGCATTGCAAGACCGACGATGATCCAAGTACCTAAGTCTGCCTGCGGACACGACATGCGCGCTTTTCTCAGACATCAACACCCTATGGAAAGCATGCGTGTGAAAAGTGTTCTGGCATTTGACGTGGTGACTAAACTGACACCATCTGGCTGCACATGTCCTTACTTTAGGTGCTAGCTGCCAGTTCTTTTTCCCTAGTGTCAGCCATGCAGTTCTTGCTTCATTGCATTCATCGCTTGCCGGAGCATGCCACGCATAGGGAGTTGTCTTCAGGAAAGTCATTTTAGCAAACCTTCTCAAGGAAATCGGACCGCCCTGTGGAGCGGCACACTGCAGAAAACTTTCAGTGTGCTGTCGTTCTGGCATAATGCGTCTGAAGCATAACCGGCACTGCCCGTCCTGAAACAGCTGCAAGTTGAGGACTCGAGGTGGCCCCGTGTCCTCCTTCCGGCTGGACAACCAGAGCAATCGCAAGGGCCCTCAAACCCAGACAAAAAAACCACCAGCTCGAATGAAGCGTTTGCACTGTGCTGTTGGCAGAGCTGACAAGAATACGCACCACGTCGTGCTCGTTATGGCCAAGCATGATGAAGTTCAAGCTGTCCTTCTGCCCTTGCCCCTGTCAGACGACACAGTGCTCGCAGACTCTCTGCCAACATCAAACACTGTCACGGCCTGCCAGGACTGCTGCTGCTGCTGCTGCTGCTGCTGCCAGTTCTGCGACTGTTTGTTGCTGAAGGCCGCAGGAGCAGCACCCTGACGGCAAGGGCTGTGCAGGCATGTGGATCCGACTGAAGTTAGAAGCGTCAACGACTGGTCTCAAAAAAAGAGCACTTCCCTCTCCCTTGACCGACTCCTGGCGGCTGTCTCTGGCAAATCGGTTGCAAGTTGTTCTGTTGGTCGTCCTGGCTGGGATCGCGCTCCCACCACGGTGCCAGCGTGTTTTGTGGTGTTCTGGCGTGGAAACAATGACAATGCTCCCCGCGCAGTGCCGTGATCATTTTGGCTTGCAAGCCGTTCGGAGACTCGAAAGTCATGGCCATGCTATTCGGCTTTTGGCGGCTCGGCGTGTGCTTCTTGGAATCAAGACGTCGCGCTCCAGTCCCGCGAGTATGTTCTACCTTCCGAGATCGTGCTTCCATCGGACTCGGGGTGTGACTCGTGTTTCTGCTCAATAACTGCCCTTGCCACAGTCCAGGGTCCGCCTCCCAAACTCCAGCTCAGGCTACAAAGTGCATGTTCTGGTTCCGTGCTTTATCAGGCCGGGTCATACCCCGAAGAGACACAAGCAGCAACTTCAATCTAAACTTGCTCCGAAACTACGCGCTCCAGAAAGCACCCGTTTCCTGACAGCGCCGGTCAAACCGCAGCGTGTTGGAAAAAAATTCTGCGCGCCCATACCCAATCTCCCGACATGACTGCGTAAATGCGGTCCCCCATCTCTTGAATGGTTCTTGCGTGTAGAGCTCGGACAGTCGGGTGCTGAATACGTTTGGGGTCTGCTCTCCTTTGAGGGCAGAAAGCAGAACTTAGAATGCGTTGTTAATAAAATGGGTCGCCAATGCACATGGCACGTGCCAAGGTGGCTTATCTTCCAAACCGAACATGTCATTTCAAGCACCTTGTAGCCGGCAGGCGGTATCAGCGGCCTAAGATCACGGTTTGCAACAAAAGCAAGCAGAACGCATGCCGCACATTGTTAAGCAGAACCATCTGAGACTGCCACCCGCCACCGACCTCACACTTTCGGGTTCCTAGCCTCTGTCCCCTTACATCATAACTCAGGTGCAACGGTGAGTTGCACCGGCCATAAACTCTCGGAGCCTAACGGGGATCTTGCCGGGCCTGCCTTTACCATACACAGCAGGCGCGGGAGCAGTCCATTGACCTTCCGAGCAGCTCCAAAACGGCTGGACCTAGCTGACGAGCTTCACGCTAAAAGGCCGCATGGCCTTTCCGCATGTTTCCATGTGCTTGTGCAACCGGTTCTATGTCTGGACACAAATGGCAGCACACAGGCAAAATGCTGGCAACTGATTCCCTGATGCCGGCGACCGAGCTCATGAAACGAATCATGACGAACCGATCTAGAAGCACCGTTGGGCACTGTTTGTGGTTCCTGCTTCTCAGCCGCGTCTGTGCCTCGCTGGCTCAGCTGTGCCTGCCAGAAAGCACTCGAAGGGCACGGGATCGATTCCGTGACAATTGCAAACGTTCGACCTGCAGTTTTGTGGGCCTCCAAGTCAGGATCTTTGGCGTCTTGTCCCGCATCCTCGAGCGGAAACCATTCCAGCACGCCAGAATGGCGAAATTATGCAGCTATGCACACTACCTGCAAGCATGTCGATAACATCTTCCTGAACCCGTAGATCTACACCTCCCATGCCAAGTGAGATGAGCTTGCGGGGCTGTAAACAAAAACTCCAACCCCTCCAGCATCCAAGAATGGGCTCATGTCACTGTCCGTGCTCGGAATTTTCGCGGAATGTTGGCAAAGAAGGATTTCAGACTCTCATACCGTTGTGCGAGACGAAAGCTGCCGAACCCACCGTGCAATGATCAAAGGCCATCCCGTTCCCAACTCCATCACAAGGCCTCGAAAAACAAACACTCCAAACGAGGCTCAACCAACTGCGGGAGCAAGCCCGAGATGACTACATGCCTAAAGTTGGAATGAATGCAATAAATCATGACAAACTGGCATGGGATAGAACATCGCAGGTGGCCTTGCTGAAATCCGGGAGAAACCACTTCAAGGAGTTGGCGAGGAGGATCCGCACCTGTGCTGACATCTCCCACCGAGTCAATGCTTGTGAAAACGAAGCATAAAACGCTGCGGCTCTGTAAGGGCTGCTCGGGAGCGGACATTTGTCCTTCGCAGAATGGTACACAGGTGTAGCCCATCTTCTACAGAGTCTTCATACCTCAGACTGTCTTGCAAGTAGCACAGCATAGCACCTTAGCATTGACTTCCCCGCCATTGCCAAGAACTGCTGTGAGCACACACAGGATTCAGGAGGCTTAGTCGGGATTTGTGGGTTTTGCTCGTCTGCATCTTCCTACGCGCCACGAGACTCTGGCCAGTTAAAATTATCTGTGGTGCAATACGTAATTCTCACCGTCGTGGTTGCGAAACACGTCACGGAAGGCATGAGTGGTGCCCTGGCACGTGTCGCAGATCAAGGCCAGAAGAACATGCACAGCAACCTGTTCTATTGCGGCGACACTACAACGGTTGCGCAGGGCGCCGTGCTGGCCCTTGCCCTGGCCCTACAGTGCAGCGCATCCTTGGCACCCGACTCTGTCAGATCTGCAGCTGCCAGCAGCACCTGACTGCCCAGGCTGCCCTTGGATACCTGACGAAACCGCCCCTTCTGCCCATGGCACGAAGCGCCTGCCGGGTGAAGACGCAGCCAACGAAAAGCACCTTGAACCCAGCACTTGCCCCTCTGGTAGGTCAATATATTAATGTACCCTGTACTTTACGGCCGGCACTTGCCTTCATGCTGCTGCCTCTTCCACAATTATCCTTTGGGCCTTTCTGAATGACAGCAGTCCAGCTCGCTGGCGCAGCAAACAGGCTGGTACGAGCAGGGCAGAAGCACCAGGCTTCACTGTCAAGCGATTGCCCCAAGGAAAACGCTGGCGGCAACATCACTCAATTCATGGCTGCCGAGAAACGAGGATGCCGCGCTGTGCTTTGTGTTGCTGTTGCTTCACCGACATAGACATCAAATTAGTCCACACAAAAATGCTGCTCCTTTCCTGCAAGTGCTGTCGCGAAAGACGCCCCTTCGAAGCCCCGAGGAGTTCCGTCGCTTCACATCCACGTGCTTGGCTTCTGTCTTGCAGCCCATATCAGTATCGCATCAGCTTCATATATTTCAATCCCACATCACAACGCAAGGCCGGATATACTGTTACTACAAGCTTACAGCCGTTCACACGGCCGAACAGATGGGCTCCGACTTTTGCCAAGGCGCTAGAAAACAGTCAATCACCATCAAGATGCTGACCTTCATTGCTCGTATCATGGACCCATGGATTATTATGGCTGAATCTGTTCTATGATGATCTGAGGGCATGGAGCAAGAAGCATCTCGTTCAGGCTAGGTGCGGCAGTGTACCACAGCGGCAGTTCGGCCCCTCGCAGCGCCAAGCTGGCTGCCTGCTGCATGCTCACACTCGCTGCACCATTCCTGCGCCTGCAACGAAGGTCTCACGTGGGCCTCAAGGCCTTCGAAGGCCAACCCGATGGCAAGCAATAACGACCTCATGTGCTCACATGCAGCATGGCCCCAATATGTGCTCGGACTGTGGCTGCCGCAGGAGTGTTGATGCCAGAAACCTCGGCGGGAATGGGAGATATTGCTGCACGTTTTCGCAGCATGCGCGAGACTGAGCCTGCAGCCGGAGGAAGACATTCCTCGGCTGGAGGAGCAGACGAGGAGCACGGACAAACTGCACAGTACAGGGCCCCTAAAACGCGAAGAGACTCAGAGTTGATCTCAGCACAGCTGATCTTTTCTCAGCCTGGTCACAGGTTGCCCTCACCGACGCCTGGCTCAAACATGAGTAATTCCCAAGTGCTCAGGCTCGCATGCTGACGTGTGCCGCAGAGCTGCAATTCCCCAGCCAAGGGCAGTGATGATCAAATCTTGCAACACAGCGTCCGCATTGCCTGGGTAGGTCAGGGGCATGGATGATGGGGCAGATCTTCTTGATCGACTTCTGTTCGGTCTTGACGGGTACACAGAATCAGTAATCCTGCCTGCAGTGTTTGCAGCGTCTGGTGCGCAATCGTCCGCACACTACGCAGGCCTTCTTGCCCCAGCCTGTCACAAAATGTCAAGCCCGCCAAGTCAGAGACAGAGAGAGAGACAGAGACAGAGAGAGAGAGAGAGAGAGATGGGCACCGTCCCGCTGGGGTGAAGACGCAAGCGGGGCACGGAGACAGCAAGCAAGCCAGCAAGAGAATCGAGTTTTACTGAAGGAATTAAGTGCCAACCAACATCGATGGAGCGAATACAGATCTGAAATTTAGCCAGAAGTGACATCCCGGAAAGCCATCAGTTTTGACCGGCACAAAGGTCCGTCCGTTGGCTCATCGCCAGTGGCCTTTCTACCGCGTCTGCCATGCTGCGAAATCTAAAGGTCGGAAAGCTTGGTCTTCTCGGGAGCAGGCTCCAACCGCGTATCTACATATGCGCCAGATATCTCATCTGCGTGCGAACTGTGACCGAACTGTTCACAAAGGCCCGAGCGCTGCGGGACAAGTACTTGCACCGTTGAGTCATCTGGCTCCATTACTTAGGCTTGGGGCCACTTGCAATCCCGTCTAGCAGCGATCAAGACAACACTGTGACAGTACACATGGGCGAGGAGGGGGGCGCCTCCTGTCGGTGGTATCCTACACCAGCCGTGCTCGACAAGATGATGCACTAGGAAAAGCAAGGCGAAGTCTGCGAAACTCCTTCAGAAACACTGCGAGGTACCACCTTGTGCATGTACAGCCTGCTCTGGTGCTCCAAACCGGATGCTCCTCCTGGAATCGCGTTTTACATCTCGATCAACCACCCTCTATGCCGGGTACTTTCTCTTGGCATTCCCACCAGCCCCAAAGCGCAAGGAGGGCTACCCACTTCCTGATGCGGCCAACCTTGCCCAATCGTTCGGATCAATATCAGGATGCCAGAAGTTCACAAGTAATACTATGCGGTTGTCATCGGAACGGTTCTCCACCGAATGTTCGTAGGAGTCGTCGAACACAGTGCAGACTCCCTCCTTCCAAGTTCGAGGTGGGCCGCTCCCTGCAATGATGTGGCATCCGTCTGGTATCACAAGTCCCAAGTGACATGTCAAGCGCATGTTGGTCGGCCCGCAGTGTGTTCGAAGGCTTGTGTGCGGCTTCAGCAAGGAAAAAAGAGCTTCTCCTACGCCAAGTCGGGCGCATTCTGCCACTTCAGGTCGGGATGATAACACGGCGGATGTAGCTGGACACCTCAAACGGTTGGCGAAGCAGTGTTCAGAATCTCCAAGAAGGATAACTTCCTGCCAATCTCCGCTCGCTATTAAACCTCCATCATGCACCGCACGACCGCCGACACGGCTCCAGTCGTTTTGCACGTTTGACAGTGCCAGCAGCTCCGCTTTGATTGCATCGTAGGCAGACTCCAATCGTCTGCAAAGCTCGAACTGTGAAGACGGATACCACGGCTGCGACCTCAAGCCACGAAGGAAATGCCCTGGACGCTGGTACGGGTCTTCCCACAAAATCTGCAAGGATACGCACTTCTCTGCCCATGCGCGACAGGCACCCAGGTCGCCCTGAGCATCCAGCACTCGATTCAGCCAGATATGAATCGATGCGGCATCACCGTCAGCAATCACATGGCTCAGTGCACTGGAGAGATAACCCCGTGCACGATGCAGCGAATCTGACCTCGCTCTGCCATCGAGTTTCCGAGATCGAAAAAACCAAAGTTCGCCAAGGGCACCCAGAAGCCCCACATCCAGAAAGTGCGCGCCATGATGCGCAGCTTGGAAGTCCCATGCCATGTTAAAGCCCTGGGGGAAGCTGAAGTTGATCGACTGAACTACGTACAAAGCTTAGAAGGTGGGAGAAACCGCACGCGGTGCACCCAACATCCGGAACTGCCATTATGTGCAATGCATGGCACTCGAGCGGAAAGTGCTGGCTTCCACCACCTTGCCTACCCGTTGCAAGCGTCCGTTTCTGAGAAAGCTTAGGGTCAAAAGGGCCTGCTGGATCCAGTTCTGCTTCCTGTGAGGATGCCAGTTGGAGATACCTGGAACTTAGTGCCGAAGAAGTTTGGGTATGCGATTGCAAGTGCAAGCACAAGGCACTCGTTCGGGTAGCTCTTCGCGTCAATCTTTGGCCTGTTGCTGTGTTGATCCAGCGGCGCAACGGCTCTGGCCTGACGAAGAAACCATGCACTGGGTCAGGTGCTGGTCGGCATCTGTATTGTGGACATGGGCAGCACCTCCAGAACGTCGGTCGCTCAACAGGAAGCCAGTGCGAAGCAACAAGAAAGCATGGCTGGGCATCGAGCAATAGCCGGGGTCAGACCAGCATGTCTTGTAAAAAAGCCTGCAAGTTTGGATGATTCCCCTCATCTTATAAGCATGGCCATGTGAGGTGCCTGAAAGAGATCACCTGCCCGGCAAACTGAAGACCTGCTAGGCTTGCCTTCCAAGACATGCGCTGGAGTTTCCACAGGACGGGAAGATCGAATTCTGGTCCACATGAAAAGAAGCATCTCACTCTCTCTTGAACAGCTTGGAGCAGGACACATCCGAGATTATCTCAGAAGCACATACTGGCTGCACAATGTCGCAGGAGCCAAAAGGCCAAAAGTTTTTTTGGCTGCTCTAACAAAACACTTCGGCCTATGCCGCGAACGATCTGGTTTCAAGTAGCGTGTCCTCTCGGCACTGAGGCCTGGAAGTTTCGGTGTTCCGGTCATCGGCCCTAGCTGCTGGGGTTGGCTCAATATGGCCTGAAGCGGGAGTCTGTGTGCGCTCCCCGAAATGCTCCAAACGGGACTCAAGGGTACTCAAGGGGATCTGCTTGCATTCTTCTGGCTGAGGACGAGGCAGCGTCGAATGACAGGCAACGCAGGTACTGAAGTTCTCTCACCTCCAATAGAATCCTTCAGGCCTCAACACCCCGGAATCAAGTCCAAGGCTCGGGCCAAGATGTAGAGCAAGAGAAACACATTCAAACCTTACGAGAGTTGGGGCAGCTTGAGCTGTGGCAATTTCCAACCCTCAGCGTAGATTCGTCACGAGACATTCCGCATCCGCCATGTCAGCTGCAGACTCGATCTTTCTGAAGCGCATCGCTGGTCGAGCTTTGGAAGTGTGGACTTTCAAACGCCCGCAGCGATCATCTTTGGGCTGGGCAATGCTCCACTTAGCGGAGCTTCGCAGCCTGGGAGGACTCAAAACTTCTAACTTTCAAAACTGACTTTTGCAAGCCAAGGAGCATAATTCAGAAAAACTCGGGATCGCGGCGGATAGATTGATGTATCCTAAGGCTCTGCTTGGAATAAGGCAGTCGCCGGATTCTGGGATGCCAGTGTCAGACAAGCGTCTGCAAATCCTGCCTCCGACAACTTTGACTGGATCTCCTGCCACGGTTAGTTTTGCCACATCATCCTTAGAGGCCGGCATGGGGCAGTGTCCTTGGCCAAAGGCTTTCCGGATCCCGTGGCAATGACCACCCTGCGCAGTTCTGAGCTGTCATGGTTGGCAGTTTTGTGCGTGCGCCGCTGTCCTGCCACCAACCTTCAATATTCTGTAGATGCCTTTCCGAAGCGGCTTCACAGGCAGCAGACTGAAAACGCAAAGCTGTCAAGCTTGTGCTGGCAGGGAACCCTTCAAGACATCTTCGGGACGCTCCACCTCCGACCAACCGAATGACCACCACACCTGAATCTGCAAAGCAGTTCCAACACGGCTAAGCACCTGCAAAGCCCGGCTTTGAACACGACCAATCGTGCATGAGTTCCACACGCAAGCCTTTACAGGCAAGGCTCATAATCAACTTGCTGGTCTCGAAACGGCAGCTCTTGAGCGTCGCCGCGCAGAAGAAAGAGGCCTTGCTCTGGACCGATTTCCTCATCCTCGCTTTCCTGAGAACTCACAGCCCGAAGCCCCCAAGCCAAAGCATGACCTGCTGCGGCACCCAGCCTGTCGGGCCTGGTCGAGAGCCGTGGAGTTCTTGTCCAAGCCTTTTGCGAAAATTTGGCCACGGAGCTCATGATTACGCACAACCTACACAGAGGTTCGGAAGACCAGCAACCAAAGACGAGGTCGAACTTTCGGGAAGTCCTCAGCCGTGTTTAACTAGGGCGAACTGTCATCTCCAAGAGGACCCAGATAAACCACGAGCCTACAAGAATGGAACAAGAGCGCTGACTTTGACCCGGCCGCGCGAAAAGCCGGCTCCCATCACCAGTGCCACAGCCAATGTCAAGCACCACGCCACGATCCTCAGCCTCGCGTCCTTTCTTGAAGAAGACCTGTCACGTCTCACTGTCGGTCTCTTCTGGCTTTGTATCCTTCAAACCGGTTGACCCGTTTCACAATCGTAGCTGACTGTGAGAGCCTGGGCGAATGCGGCATCCCGGAGCCTCAACCACACTCGCACGGTCAAAGTCAATTGCAAACTCGACGCAGTCCAAAATGGGCGACCGGGGGACGGATCCGGCTTCTGCATTGCACCACTGTCGTGCGATTGCCAGCCAAGAGTATACTCGACGATACGGCTCATCTGTTTCTCGTACGGCTCAATCTTCACAATCCTTATGCAACCGAATCCGACATCGGCAAGTGCTCACCTCCACCTTTAACCAAATCGATTTATGCGCCCAAAGTTTGCTGAGTAACGCTCCCTTGTTCAATCGCATCAAAGCTTGCTGGTAGAACTCGTACGGCTGCTCCTCCCCGTCCGGGTTGAGATATGTCAAGACGTCGCTGGGAAGCCAAGCTGAAAATCCATCTTCTTCGGATATCCAGATGACAACTTCCTGGCAAGCTTACGCAAGCAAGCACCAGGTGACGGCAGTATCTACTGTCCTGTGAGCACTCGGCAATTAAGCAGGACGCTGTTAGCCCCGTGTCAGGGTCATCGAACTGAACGGTGCCCGTCTGGCCAGCCAGGTTGGCCATACCACGTTCCCAGCGCACCTCCCTGCATGAGCAAGGATGCAAATGGCACGGCACCCTTGTCTCAAAACCCAGCCCACCTGTGATTCTCAACGGCGGACCGCAGCGTCGCCAAGTCTGAAACTCTGACCTTCCGCTCCTCAGCCGGTGCGTCGCCGGCATCCTCGCCTGTCTGGTCGTATTCCTTTCGCCGTTCCTCATCGCTGAGGATACGGTAGGCCAGGAGGATGTCTTGAAAGGCCACGGCATCGCCTCCGGTGTCCGGATGAGTCTCTTTGGCCAGGCGAATGTACCTGGGAAAGTCCAGGAAGAAAACAGGCTGCATTGCTGCACATTGCTGCATGGCTGTGCGGCTAGGCGTATCCAAAGATAATCCAAGCGTCGCTTTCCTGATTTCTTTCAGCGTTGCATTGGGATCGACTCCCAAGGTGGCATATGGATCCTCGGTCGGCGCTCTGTTGAGTCTGACGGAAAAGTGATGCCGCAACCGTTTCGTTCGAATCAAGCGGCCGGTGCTTCGTCGCTCTCCTCCTCCCTCCGTTTTAACCAGCGTCTACGAAAGGGCGGCTCATCCGAGCTGGCAGGGTTGTCTCTTCTGAGACATTCCTGGGCTTCGGGGATCGCACACTGTTTCCGGCATCCTGCTTAAGATTGTAAACAACGGATGGAAGCTCTGCCAAGTGACAGCAATGTAACCGGGCACTTTTCCATCAAAGCCAGGTCCCCAGCAGCGTTTCCCTTCGGCTTGGAACGCGACGTCCAGTGCTTCCCATGGGGTCTTCTTCAGATCGACCGGAGGAGCCTTGGTGCTACAGGGCACTTACTGCTGGGCCGCTCGGTCACTGCGCGCGGTTAAAGCTTCACACCAAAAGCAGATGTTGATAGACAAGACTCCAACTCTTCAACCACCTCCACCACATCTTCTACCACGTCTTGTGCCACAGCCCTGTGCGCCAGGCCCGCAGCATGGCCTGAATGCCAGTCCTGCAGGGTGGCTTCGACAACAGGCAATGGCACTGCTGGGAGGAGACGGTACTGGACGTCCTTCTGCGTCAAGGGTAGCTTTGTGACGAAGAGCCTTGTCAAACCTCACTTTTCTGCAGGCGATGTCTTCCAAGAAGGGAACGGAAGGCATGGCGAACAGGCCCGAGTAGCCCAAGAACGGCAGGGAGCTTACAGCAATTGCGCAAAGCCGTGGCTTCCGCCGGCTCATGGCATTCAAAATTGCTGAGCAAGAACCTTTGGAAATATGCTTGTTGCTCGCCGCGGCTTGCGCCCCACGAGCTTTGCACAACCCTACTAGAGTTTCGGCAAGGGTGTGTCTGTCACCTGCTCAGATCACGATATGCAGCTCTTGGGGTGAGCGATGACTGCTTGAGACTAGCTGACTAGCTGCAGCTGCACCTCTCCTGCCCAACTGCTCTCCATGCATGCGAGCTGAACTGAGCACGGTAAGCTGCAAGCCGTGGTCTTGCCATGATGCAAGTAGCTCATAGGCCCGACAAAAACGTCTGCAGCTCAGTTGGGTTACCGGCTGTGCAAACAGGGCGTCAGAAACACCATGAAGAGAGTCGTAGGCTGCGCACGAACAGCGAACGCACCACGGAAAACTTCGCAGTTGCCGCCTACTTCCCCTACCTGTCGTGGCATCAGCTTGGTCAGGCATCGAGGGAAACAGCCTTGGGAACTCGAGCTTGGCGATTTGCTGAAGCTTCGACAGCGTGGGCGCCTGTGTTTGCACGGCCGTGCCAAGCCTGAACGATCACTTGTGCCGGTGAATGACACAGCGGCACCGGACAAGCTACGACAGCCTTTGCATGTGCCAGGTGTGCTGTCATGCAGATGTCCTGTGGAGTCTGCAAATGCAGGAAAGGCATCATGTTGCATGTCCAGCTTCCAAAGGTGGTCCATGCGTCGTGTGAGGTCTTGTGGCCGTTTGCCTTGGTAGTCCTGCAGATGGGAAGCAAGCCGAAGTAACTTGCTGCTGGGCAGCCCACCTGTATGTCAAAAGCTGCGGGACCTCCAAGGGCTCCCCCGTCAATTCCGTACACCTCAGAGCCCAGCAAGCGACGCAGCTTTGCACTACCGAGCTTGCAGCCACATCTGCTTCGCTTTGAAAATGACACAGTACGAGTATGACATCCACCGGAACCACGTCACAAGCATCACAAGCAGGCTTCCTCTCCGACACTTACGGACAGGAATGTGCTAACTACGGCCATGCATTGCTTTCATATCAGTCCAGGTCAGGCTCCAGACCGACTCGACCAGAGCACCACGGCCGTGTACAGCGGCCCAGTGGAGCGGCGTTCCTGCACAGCAAGTAGCAGCGAGGAACGCCACCCTTCGTGATCGGATGACAGAACCCAGATCTCAGCACGAGACGTCGCTTCATATCCACAGCAAGAGCATCTGCACCACGCCTTTGGACAACCCAGCGCTTCTTCCGGGTGTGGCACATGAAGCATATGAACGCAAAGAGTTTGCCTCAAGAGCATCTGCGTCGCAAGCACCTTTCCAGCCATTACCTCACTGCCGGTCAAGACATTGAGAGGCAGCCCAGCACTCCGCATGCAAAGGCCATCGCTGCACAATGGAGCGGCCTGTAGCGCAGCACATGTCAGCCCGTGCAGGACCGTAACATGTTTGTAGCTCAAGACCCCCGCGTAAGCCCATAAGAGTCGGCAGACTTTATGGAGGCCCCTTTCAAATACCTGATCAACAGAAGAAAACACCTAGCCATAGCTGTTCCAATCGAAGATCGCAGAGGCACAGCCACTCCAGAATGTGAATGAAGCCGCAGTTCGCCGCATGATGCGCGGCCGTCCCACCCTGCTCGAGCATGGCATGAGGTGTACAGTTAAGCCGTGAAGCCTTGTAAGTATTGTCTAGAGGGTTTCGGGTAAATACGCGTGAGTCACAGCTCTGAGGGTGGTCTTCCGGCCTCTACCCCACGGACCACCGTTCGGCTTGCAGAAGCTTGTTTGCTCCTCCCTCCCCGCATCAATCCTTCCTTGTGTCTGCTACTCTCCTGCCCGGTGCCATTACACTTTCCTGTGCGGAGGATGGCGCAAAGGGTGTCAGCCTTCCTGATTCGGCACGACCCTGACAGTCAGATGAACTGTGATACAACTCTGCCGCTGAGCCTCAGAATCACGTGCGGCAACGACACCTTGTTCGTGGCCTCGCCATTCCGGCACGAGGCTGTCGACAGTAGAACGAGAAAGGCAATGACCGAGGTGCACACGCCACAACGCTGCCAAGGTCGACCTGGTTCAACAGCCATGCGAGAGGAATCCCTGCAAGCCCGGAGAGCTGAGACTTTGACAGTCTGCCGTTGCGCGTCGCAAGGTGCACAGCCTCTGGAGATCGTCCGAAAAGCACCAAGCACCGCCCTCTTCCGCAATCTTACGTGACACAGGCATTCGTGGAGGCAGAGGCCCGAGGCGGCTGCTTGGAGGCCTTCCTGGTTTGCCTGGTGGATGCAAGCCCGAGCTCTGAGCAGGTCAGTTACCTCAGGGGCCGTTTTGGCAGTGCCACCAGGTGCCGAAGCGATGACGACACGTGACGGTCCAATGACGAGGGGTTGACGAGACTGTGCGAACCATTCCAGGCCTGGTGGAAATCACTTCCGCTAGTCTTCCACACATAACATCCTCCCAATAACATCAAAGTGAACATCGGTCAAACGACTCGGTCCGGAACAGCCCAGTGAATTGCTGCATTGAAATTGTCAGAATCCAACCTTAGTGAAGGGCAGCGGTGCCAGGGTCTTTAACTTGACACTGGCAGATGCCGGGGCTCCATCTCAGCTATGTCCACACCCTGCTCTATCAATGCCCTTGCTGCCGCAAAGTCCTCGCAGCAGAAAGATCGGGGATGCTCGGGGCAGAAGCTCAGAAGTAAAATTGAGATGCCTTGTTGCGGCAGGCACTCGCCAAAGCTCCGCACTGGCCTTCAGGACACAGTGCAAGTGGCAGTCAGCACCAACTTTCGTCGACCTCTGCACATCTCCACCGTTTCCACCGGCTGCAGCTCACGCGTGCCATGCTCATCTGCATTTGGGGGCATCGGAAGGGTGCACCGCTGCCATCGGCAGCACTAGCACGTCATGCCACATCCTGCTGCATTCCTCTGAACCAAACGGTCACTGACAGAACTGCGTCTAGTGTGGGCAAACGGTCAGAACAGTGGCAAAATCTGCCATGCTTCAGCCTGAATTGTCCTGCCGCATCTAGCAGTAGCTGCTTAGTAGCTGTAACCTAGCATGGCAGGCTGAGGCTGGTTGAGTATGCAAGGCCGTGACCTCACGAGCCAAGCCAACGCCGCAATACACCGCAACAAGCGCTGGACTACCTCTTGCATCCAAACTTTGCACCCTTCTTTTGCCAGGGACTGGCGTTGGACTGGTCGCCTGGCTGTTGCAATGGTTTCTGCTTCAGTCCCACAATGCGTGCAAGCGTGGATGCCTGCCGCTCGAGCACGAGAAGCAGAAACTTCAGAATGTTCGCCTTGCAGAAGCTTCGACGAACCGATTTGTCTCAGATTTGCTTGACGTGGCACCTCTCCACGCCCCATCACCCAGGAACAAACTTCTTTCCAGGGACCACTTTGGGCACACCTTCCGAAGCGCTCCAAACAGAAGTTCTCTGCTTTGCCAAATCTTAGATTCGGGCCCCGGGCCTGGAGAGCAGCTCCTGCCGGTTGGAGAGCAAGACACAGCGGCCTCCTGGCCTGGATTCCGGGAGCGAGAAAGTCTCTTCAGCCAACCCGATCCGCGAGCGCCCGGCCGCAGGATCCGCTCCGCCAGTCGCAGGAAGGCCATATAGGACCTGAGAGAGAGCTTGCTTGGGGCGAAGCGCCTCTTCGCAGCCGGCCCAGGGGGCCGGCTCCTCGTCTGAGCTGGCCTCTGACTCCCACAGGCGAGCACTTTCACAAACCGCCACGGCCGCGGCCGCCCGGCCTTGTGCGCGGCCCCACTTGGGAGATCACAAATCAGAGCATCTGCCTCCCATCGAAGCATCTGTCCGACACCTCCGGCCCTCTCTCTCAGCCCTTGGACGTCTTGGCCCTGGACCGATGCATCAGCGATGTCAGCAAAGGCTGAAGAATCCTCGCAGCTATGGCAACAAGAAGAACCGAAGATTGAAAGCCGCGTGAGAGATTTCAGCTCCCAGCCCTGCCATCGCCCATGCGTATGTCAGACCTTGGCACGGCGAGCACTCTCGACCCGCGAAGCTCTGCGGCTCCGCTGCGTCCAAATCAGTCCCCTCTCGCTACCTCGGCCCGCTGCGCATCCACGCAGCAAGCCGCAAAGTTTGACAAGCAGTACCTCGGGGCCCATCAAAAAGTCCAACTACAGAGAATGAGTTCCGCGAAGCACTGGGCAATACCGCCTTCGCCGAGAGCCTGCACCTCCCCTCAAACTGCACGAGATCTCCTGCATCCCGGCCCTTGTTCAGTTCAGGAGCTGCAGCTGACTGCTGCTCATCTCTCGACCTCTGCTCACATGGCTCCCACGCAACCACGCAGCTACAAATGACTGCAAGTCTTTGAGCCGTGGGGTCGCTGCCTACAAGCCTCAGGGGACGCTGACCTTAGCTTCGAGTATCGTATGCACGCGAGGCGCGAAGACACGAAGGGCACGGCTGAGCCGCCGACTGACCTGGGGCCAGATGCGTGCCGCCGCCTCTCTTAGGAAAAAGACGACGCAATCGGCTAAGGACACCGAGAGGCAGGCATGCTCGGCAGTAAGGATCGAACGAGCAGCAGTGTTCCCATTCCGCATGTAGGGTCGACCTGGCATGAGCTGCAAAAAACTCCGTTCCTCGGATCCTGGCTCTCTGACAAACTTATGTTGGCATCACCACGATGCTTGGCTGAGTGCCCTCAGTTTTCACATCCTGGGAGGTTGGCAGCCGTCGGTCTCTACTCCAAACGGTTGAGAAGACTACTGTCCGGGAGCCCGGCAATCATGCATTCTGCAGCTACTGCGGCCATGGCCTCAGCAGGCACCAACGGCGCACACAGAATCGCCCAGCAAGCCAATCGGACACGGAGCGCAATTACGAGAAGAAAGAAACATGCCCCTTTCGAGCTTCGCTGAAATCTTCAGCAGCTGGTACACAGTGAGAATGGCCATGCTCTGTACGGCTACGCGACTACTACCACTCAGTCTGTGTATGTCTGCGTGGCGGCTTTCCTCTAGCAGCACGTACGTAAGTCTTGCGATTTGATAAAGTTGTCCCTGGCTTCTCTTTGCTACTGGGACTGGTAGAGGACAAGCGAGAAGTGTTCCAACTCAGTGAAACATGATTGCGTGCAGTGCCCCTTGCTGTACACTACCACATTCCCCGCAGTTCCTCTGCGCGGTCTCTCCTGTTCTCTAGCGCAGGATCCAGGAACAGAGCGCACCCAGCCAAAATTGGACACAACACTCGTTCTTGTACACATTGCACGTCATGCTATTCCACTTCTTGCCAGAAGGCCAGTCCCCACCGGCCCAAGTAGCTGATGTCTCTGGCCGCGTTCCTCGTGGAACCCAGCATTCGACTGGGTTCCTCGAAGGACTCTGTCACCTGGCCCCCTTGCGCCTGAGTCGGTGCTCAAACCCGTCTTTGGACAATCACGACATGACAAATGACATTCATGCACATGCATCTGCATAGTCTGGACTGCCTGTACTGGACACATCTTGCTATTATTCTTTTCGCCTCGTACATGTTTGTATTCGTACGTTTCTAACTCTTTCTTGAATATCGGCAAGCAACTTCTTGGGAACCACACTCTGAGCCTGCCTGAAACAAAACTCATGCTGGCTTTGTGAGGGCATGTGCGATGATACTCTGTTTCGGTGTGCGGATGATGCGTTCACTGATAGGAGAGAGAGCCACAGAGAGGTCATAAGCCCAGACGGAAAAGAACGTCGAGACGCAGAAGCATAGAAGCGAACCATCGGTGCACCACCTGATGTGCCAAGGGAACCGGTCGACCGCCGAAACGTAATACAATGCGAAACTGTGGCACGCAACACCGGCCTTCACATCGTCTTCCTCCAAGGCAGCTGTTGTCTCGGCAGCCACCCATCGCCGATGGCGAAAGAAGCTCACGATCGTGAAGAGCATCAGTGGCATGTGCACTGGCACCGTGAACTTGAACAAGATTGTCCCCTCGGCCAATCCTAGTGCAAGGCCTTTAGAGTTCAAGTTCAACCACTTCGTAAGCATGCTCCAAGCTCGATTGGAGCCAGCAGACGCTTCCAGTTTGTCCGACAGCTGCCAGTACTTAGCAGAGGTCCAGGGGTACCAGCTGATGGGTTCTCGATGTCGAGCAGGAACCATGCCAAGCTTCTGTCGCTCTTGTGTACGAAGCAACTGCCAGCCCGCCAGTTTCCAACTGTAGTTGGCCGCATGGTAGCGATCTCTGGCTGTCGCCCAGCCACTTGCCAGACCATTTGCGAGCGAGCTCCTGGAAGTCTTTGCCTTGCTGCGGAGCCTTTTCAGTATCGCCGTGGCTGTCCCTTTGGCACGGGTCAGAGAGGCTGAGGCTCCTGGACCGCCGAGACCCACTGTGCGCCGGAGCGGCTCGCTCTGGCCCTGGCCCTGGCGTCGTCTGGCCATGTCAAGAGCCTCCACGAGCCATAGCCGTTTCCTCTCTGAAAACGTTCGGGCCGCCACTCCACTTCCGAAGAGAGCCTCTCGTCTTGAAAGAAAGACCCTTCGTAAAGGTTGATAACGAACAGCTACCGCCACAGAAGCCGCCCATGCACAGTACTTCGCTCCAAGGAAAATCGCGGCCACTTTCGGAACATCCTCAGCCTCCAGGCCGCATGACTGCAAATAATTCGTTAAGCGCTGCCCAACCATCGAGAGGTGCCTTGGGCAACACTCTGCCAAAAGTAAATTCAGTAATCTACCTAACTACTGCTCATGTTCGGGCCGCTGGGCGCACAGTTCGGAGTATTTCGGTCGCGGCTCCCGTCCGTAGCTCACTCCCGAGACGCCAGGAAGCTCAGGGACTCTCTCCTGCAATCTGTGTCTGCATACCCGGTCGCTCGAGACGACCTTAAGGCAAAGTGGCGCACACTGAACCGAACTGCAAAACCCGGAAAGCCACACTTAGAGCCCGCACTCCAGGAAAATGGCAACGCCGGGCGCATTTCCAACTCCTTGACCTAGAGCTCACCCTCTAGGTCAACTTCTGCTTCCAAGAACATGAAAAAACCTCAACGCCGAATGCCACATGGTCGGCGGCAAAGAACACCGTGGCGTTCACCTCACGGGGCGAGTTTTCAAGTGCCGCGCGACTCGAACTGCAAAATCTCTTCATGCCTCGGCTGCTGCAGCACGTGGCTCTAGGACCTGAGACAGGCATGTCGGCACGAAGAGAGAAAGCCTGAAAGCACGCGCGCCGGCCGCGCCAGGTGTCGTGCCCAGGAAGTAGCACGCTCTAGACCCCTTCGCACGGCCTTCTTCAGCTCAACCCAGTCCTTATCAAGTGGCCAGAAATTTCTGTCACACCAAGCCATGCAACATCGAACGATACTTAGCTGCAGCCGAATGTAGAAGCTGCGGTGCCGGATGAACTCAGGCGCTGGAAGCATGCTAGTCAAGACGCTATGTGCTTGGCTTCGGGCCGCACGTGGTCCGAAAGCCTTCTTTTCAGCTCCACTGTAATTCACACCTGCTAGGGCTTGCAAATGACACGGGACAAACGGTATATCTCCTGAAGCCCGTGCGACACTGGGCGGTGAAGCGAATCTTTCGGCCAGGAGGATTGGCACCTGAGGCTGCATCGTGCTCAGATGCAACCGCCTTGGGCGAAGACGATCTGAGATCCCCGCCAGGATCATCTGGGTCTTCTGCGAACCGGGACATGAAGACGGGAAGCCTCGGAAACAGGACGAGGAAGCGCTTTCTGCCCCAGCTTCGTTTTTGAAGCCGCCAGGTGTCAGACACGGATCGCAGGCGAGCAATGGCAGCCCGCTCGACACTTCGAGCCTGGCCCGCTCCATGCTCTCCCTCTGTCTCTTGCTTGCTTGCTTGCTTCCTCTGTCTCTCTCTTGCTTGCTTGCCTGGCGTTTAGGGCCTAGGGCCTAGGGGAGGACTCCAAGACCCGCCCGCGCGAGAGCTACGCCGTTGTCCCTTTCGTTCTTTCTGCCGGGCTTAGGGGTCACGGCATGACCCGCAGGCTCTTGGCCCACCCGACCGCTTCTGGTTTGGGTCCCAATCACTACGGCAACAGCGGCACGGTATGCTCTGTGTTTTCAGCAAGCACCCCCGTTCCCTTTACACTAAAACACCGACACAACCCCTGCCTCGTCCCCGTGCCCTTGTGGCTATCATGCTGCACTGGTGCCTGCCTATGTTTTGAAAACCACCATGCAAAGGAGTGTGTTGCAAACAATGGCCAAGGTCGACAACGCACACATCGAACTAGCAACGGCCCTCTCTCTCTCTCTTCGTTCGCTTCGTTTCGCAGGGGTCAGGCTCCAAGAGCCCGCGCTAAGCCGCCCCCTTTCCCCCCTTTGAAGTGGAAGGGGCTTTGGGCTGTAGCGCACTGGGTTTTTTCCCTCCTACCTAGCAAGGACGAAGCCCGCATTGCAGGGTGTCTCAGTTGAACAGTTGCGCGCGGGGTTGTTCCCCGAGGTCGGTTAGGCTGGTAGCGTCTAAGGTCCGTACTTTGGTTTTGGGGTGTGACTTGGGGGTAGTGTGCAGACAGCTTGTGGACTTAGTACATGGTATGACACTCTTCCCCTTGGTGTTGGCTTTTTGCTGACACTACGTTCAAATGTGGTACGAATTTCAGGCACACCTCTATCTGGAAGCAGAGTGTCTGGTAGTATGCAGGAGAAGAAGGGGGGCATGTGGCCCCCCCGGTATGGTAGTGGTCTACATGGCTCCGCGGCCCGTCAGAGTTAGGCTTGGCTTAGCAAGCGCAAAGAAAAAAGGCTGTAGCAGTGCAACGTTTGAAGGGTTGTGCTCCCCCGCACTTAGTGCTTCTCACTTCTGCTCAGGTGTTCTTGTACACGTGGTAGAGCGGCCCGCCGTCTTTTGGCTAGGATCTTCTTTCGCATCTGGCGGGCTTTCTTGAGCAGTCCCCCCCCCGGTTTGTCGACCCGTGGGAGCGGCATGCTGGGTCCATTGTCCCACGTAGTTTGTGCAGCACTACGTCACTACGTCCCCTTGCTTGCCCAAGTCACGATCTTGAAGTTGACAAAGTCCCCCACCCAATGGAGTGGCTCTTTGTGCAAACCGTGGCTGTCGAGTCAAAGGCGCAAGCGACGAAGAAGTGCGTCCCCCTCTGCTTTGAAGCGCCCGCGCAGAAGGTCTTGCAATTGCGAGGTCGCCGGTCTCGAGGTACGATTTCGTTCGTGCCGCTCTCGAGTATGGCTAGGCTTTCCCCGGTCCTAAAGAGGGGCCACTGGAGCACGGCGGCGACAGGCACAGGGACTCAAGCACCGCTGGGAAAACCGAGAAGGCTCCCCTGGAGTAACAGTCCAGGTTAACCCCCCGGCTCCCCCCCGATGCAAGGAGGCGGCACAAGCCCCCAAGCAAAGGTGCAGCACTTGAGCCAAAATGGCTACTCCCTCTCTCTCTCTCTCTCTTCCGGGTGGGAGGTATGGGGCTCTCTCTTTCTTTCTGCTGGGCTTAGGGGCTCTCTTTCTTTCGCAAGGCTTGAGGGCACGCCCCCGCTCGGAGGGCTGCCCCTTTTTGGCCGCACGCACGGTATTACGTGCTCTGGGCTACAGTTACCGACCACACTTTCAACTTCTGGTACAGGCTGTACTGCAGAGATAGCAAAGGTTGGATGCGGTGTGTCGGCAACTCAGTAGGCTGCTCTAGCGGGTGTTCCGCCCCGATGGTTCCAAGTAAGTATGCGTGTTGGCGTGTTGGTCACAGTCCTAGCAAAGTGTTGTCTGGATCCCTCGGTCGAGCATGTCTGAACACATGTGCCTCCGAGTGCTGGCTGGCAGTGCAAACATATAGCAAGGCCCCTTACAAGTACTACTGTTCAGGATCTCGGAGGCTGTGGTAGGCTGGGGTTTTTCGCCCCGTAGGTGGGTTGTAGCCTCGTCACCAGCTAGGTACAGACCACGGGTTCTAGGCGTTCTTACCACAAGCAAACACAACAGGTAATGTCCACATGTATGGCTATAGTGTCCACATGCCGATGCCCCGATCAGGAAAACAACAAGGGGCTTAGGGACCTGTGCAGATCACAGTATGGGGTCATCAGCTGTGGAGGTTGTCGCCCCTGGGCCCACGTGTAGCCTGTCACTGCGCCCCTCAGTCACTACTGTCGGGTTCAGGTGAGCTCACTGGTGTTGGCCGGTCAGTGGGGCTCGAGGTTGTTCTACGTCTCCCATCTGGTATGGCGTACTCCGCTAAGGCCTCCAGCTCGTCTTCTTCTCGTGTCGCCCCGGCTTGTGTTGCTGAACCCCCGCTTGGGCCGCCATCTCCTGGTACGCGGTTGCCCCGAAGTCTTGGGTGCCTTCCTCGCCTGTCTCGCCCCAGTGTGCTGCGAGCGCGTGTGTGGCCTCTTCGTCGCTGTCGTCGTGGGCTTGTTCTTGGGTCGCCCTGTCCTGCTCGTACTGGTACTGCATGGCCAGGTCATGGTAGGCTTCGCGCTCCGCCCCCTGGGTCCTCGTAGCTATCCATTTGCGTGGGGGCTTGCGCCCCGTTGTCGGCCACTCCGCGTGCGAGCCGGGAACTTCTTCCTGGCTCTCCTGAGCCACGATCGCCCCGCCGCTGTGCCAGTGAAGCACCTCAACGAGTGCCCTGCCGCACAGTTGGTACGCTTCACCTTGGAGGAAGCCCCTGACGGCCGCGAGGTTCTGCGTGGCTTGTTCCACCGTGATGGCGTGGACGAAGAACGGCCTGGTAGTGTCCTCCCCGCCAGCGTGTAGCCGGAGCACATCCGCCACGTGTGTCCCGGCTGTTTGCCAGGAGTCTTCGCCCTCCGCGACAGTCGCGAGCTTGGAGCCCACCAGCCGGTCGTTATTTACGATGTGGTGAACGCCCCTTGCCGCGGCAAGTCTAGTGCTAGCTTGTGTGTGGAACGCCCCGGGGGCTGCATCCATGGCACTGGTCACTAGGTATAGTGTCCGAGCAAGTTGCTGGAGGACCATGTCCTGGGTCAGGTGTGTATTTGCCTCCACTGTGCTGAGGGAAAGGAGGTTTGCTGCAGCCTCGCGGAAGAGAGAGTTTGTCCCCCGAGGTTTTTTAGTAGGCGACCCTTCTGCACTGCCACATGCTGCTGTGCCCCGGTTGCTTTGCCTCCACGAAGTAAGCATGTTCAGCGGTATCACGACATGGTAAGTAACTGCATGCACTTCTCCCCCGGCGGTTTCGTATAGTAGGCTGCGAAGTGTGTCTATCACTCTGTCGAGGGTCGATTCCGGCTCCGTGGTGGAGCCTGTTGCCGTGCTCTGCCCCGGTCGTTGCATGAAGCTGTTGTGGTCTGGCAGCTCGGCTGGAGGGTTGCTGGTGGACGTGGTCGTTGGTGGTGGGAGGCGGGTGCCCAGTGGCCGGCTATCCTGCAGGATGCCCAGAAGTCCTGGCTGTGGGATGCTGTGGGGGTGGAGTGTCGGGGGTGGTCGGTGGGTGGTTCTGCGGACGGTCTGCTGCGGCTTGGCTTCTGCGGAGGGTTCGGCCATCACTCAGGGGGTGTGGCGTGTTGCCTGCGTTGTTGTTCGTGGTGGCGGTCGCTGGTGTGCTGGCAGGCGTGTCGGTGGAGGAGGCCGACAGTTGGGTAGGTGTAGGTTGTGTGGTGTCTGCGGTCTGTGTTGGCGCCACCGGGGGCTCTGTGTTCGCTCCGCCCGGCGTGTGTTCTCGAGGACAGGACGCCGCCCCGCTGCTGGGGCTGGCTTGCTGTGTGTCTTCTGCTGTGGTGGCGCTTGTGCCCGAGGCTTCGCCACAGGCTGCTTCTTCGTTAAGGTGCATGTCTATGGTCCATTCTCCATCATACCACGTAAAGGTGAGTACGTCTCCGGGGCAGAGGATGGCTGCATTAAACTCGTAGTGCCCCGGTTCTGGCGACGATATGACTTCCGGGCTCTCTCTCTCTCTCTCTGTCTCTCTCGCTCGCTGCACTGACGCAAGGCATCGCAACTTAGGAGACAACGAAGGCAGAATGGAGATCTTCACATCTCTGCAACTCCTCCAGCTCGCGCCTCGGTGCCGAGGCGTGCCGGCAGAGCAAACTGTGAACAGGGGCCGTGTTCAGGCGGCACAGGGGCCAGGCCCCCACACCAAACCAAAGAGCACCACGAGGCGGCTTGCACCGTGTCTCGGCAACAAGTCGCATATCTCTGTCCCTGCGACCGTGACTTCTACGCGGCTGTTGCCAAAATGCATCCTTACACTCATGTGAAAGGGTGTCAATTGCACCTTCTTACCACCTGCTCGCCCGAGTGAAGCGCATGTTGCGCGACTGCGGCGCCTGTTGCACCGCTGGAAACGTGCTCGGTCGAAAGACCGCCTACAACTCGTTATGGTTGATCTTGAATTGGTCGAAAACGCGTCGGAAAATTTCCAAGTCGGCATCGTCATGGGCACTGCCTGGGTCAAGAGCGAGAGCATGTCAATGCAGCGTACCACCCGGTATGCCGTGCGGTCTGAAAGCTTTGCGCTCCAAGCATCCATCAGAAATTCCGGAGACATGTTCCGGGAAGCAGAAGTGCACTTCGTTGTAAAGCCAGCCAACTCTCACGTTCTCGACAAGCTTGCCACTCAGAAGCCTGGCGATGAAAGGTGGCACGTTGACAGTGACAGGAAAGCTCAGCACCCGTCCATCCTCTAACCTGTGGTGGTAATCAACCTTTCACCGCTACTTCACCGCTAGTTCAAACGGCACGTGGCACGCCCGTGGCATGTCCTCGAATAAATGGGAAGACAAGGCCAACCCGCCATCCAGAAATCTTCCCCAAAAGCACTGTCTTCAGGCCCCGCCCCGCACCACTCCCCTGATCGCGACCCGCTCGGTGGGAGACACTGAAGGCCTCCCCACTCGCTGCACCCCGACCGGTGGAGGTGTCGAAGCTCATGGAATGAAAACTCGGAGGCGCCGCAGAGAGTGAGTGAGACACGACCCCTGCTCTCCCCGCATCGCGCCGCATCGCGCCCGGCGCATGAAAGCACCGCACCTTGTATCGCGACGGCCCGGTGGGACTCGATCTGCACCCCTATGGAAGAACCAAGCCCAGACGGTTTTGGGGAAAAAGACATGACGGTGACCATGTCTGTCCGGAGTCCGGGGGGCTCGGCCAACTTTGTGGCCACCAAAGTCGGCTCGGGGCTCAAGTGTTTTTCACAGCCCCAAGCCTTGGCCAAACAGGGCAGAAAGCTGCAAAGTGCTGGCTTGGACATTCTGCTGGCGTGGGCAACGCAGCCAAGCGACTCCTAAAATGAGAGTCGTCGTGTGCGGATTGCGAAGAACGGGCGTCACGAAAATGGACGTCAGTGTTTCCTGCAACAGCCTGAGCTGCAAGACACCTGCCTCAACAGCAAGTGCCAGCCGCTGTCAGCCTCACGTTCCCTCCACGTTCCCCAAGTCATGCAATTTCCTCGCGAATGCCGTACGGTAGTCCTGTCTCCCTGAAGACAATGGCCTGATGCCTGGCTACGAGGCGTATGCTGCCGAACGCAGACTTCCTTCGCAAAAACAGGCAAGCTTAGAAGGGGTACCGATTTGAGATGGTGCTGTCAAGGAGCCGCTCCTCTTGAGCCTTGTCCTTATATTGCAACTGGTCCTCTGTCAAAGGCGCAGCAGAGCTGAGAACCTTGGCAGCCACAAGCATAGGATCCATTTGTGTTTCAAAATTGTCCCGGGCCGGGCAGCCGGAATTACGGCTTGCCTGTCCTCTGGATATAGCTCGAACTCCTGTCGAAGCACCCGAAAGAAGAAACGTGCGCTTGGGACTCACGCAAGCCTCAACGATGCCACCCCGGCCAATGATGCACTCAGGGGAATAGATCACATCACCTTGGGTAGATTCTGATTCCGTCAACCATGCAACGGCAGGACAGTCTGCATCTGACCTACATTAGCACGACCACGAGTGATCTTGTCGGCTCTCGTTGTCCAGCAAGACGTCGGGTGAAAAGCAGTCTAGTCACCTCTTTTCTTCCATCCCAGTAAAGAGTCTTGACTGTTCCCAGCCGGATTGCTGAAGAGCTTCTTGGCAAACTCTTTACCGGTAGCAAGCAAAGTTTGCCCGACTCACGTAGTTGCGTAGTTGAATGCAGCTTGTTGCTTGAGCCAGGGATTTTTGAGAGCTGTTCCTGCGGCTCAGGGTCGGGCACCCGTGAAACTCGAATTTGCAACTTTTCGGCTTGTGTATGCACAGGAGATTTGGAAGCTTGGAAAGACGGGAAGGTTGCTACTGTAGGAATTTTCGGAAGCACTTGGAGGCGCTTCAGAGACCACTGCACCGTCCCGATAAGGCCAAGTGAAGCCCATGGAGGGCGATTCGGCCTGAATGCCTAGAAGCACTGGGGGCTGTTTGGCGCTTTTTGAGGATCAGAAGACGACTATTTTGGATACGGGATTTACAAGGTTCCCAGTCGTTTTCCCCGCGGCTCGTAGTAGCACGCCGTATTGTGTGGCATCTCCAGTGGCCACCCCTGTATGGCAACATAAAAGCCATGCCGATGCAGAACAAGGCGCTGAAACTACTCATGTCGTTCTTCGCACAGGCTTTTGGTCCAAATGGGCTCAGCACTTGGGGCTTTGCTCGTTGCAAAGATGGCAGCAAGTTCGGAGTTTGACAATACATCTCCGTCTCCTGAGCCCAGCATCACACGACAGTTCTGCACTCTGACATGCGTCCTGCCAGTCAGCTACTCCGTTTTACCCCGTTCCATTTCAAAGGCCCGAGCCAGGCTGAGTAGATGCGTCACGGGAGGGAACTCGCCCGATGTGCAGTTCACCACACAAATCTTTCGGCTTTTGTCCTGGGACCAGAAAACTTGTAGTTTGCAGCAGCGCCTGCGGTATCGCTGCAGATGTCAACCTGCATGATGCCCCTCTCACTCTGACTCTGAGCCTGTTCGTGGAAGAGCTTGGCTGCAGAGGCTAGACTGGCCTCGGCGAAGGTGACCTCCGGCCAACACAAACGCAGATATGTCGGAACTTCGAGCTTCTATGAGCACCCGATGCCTTCGGCGCATGGTCAAACGACTGCACGGTCTTGTCATGAAGCGCCTGATGGACTTCCTGGTGAAGCTGCATGGAGACTTTGGCGACTGGGGCAAGGATCTTTGCACCGAGCGCATGTCATGGCACGAAGGCCGGCGGGTCTGGCGGGCGGCTGTTCCCGTTTTTGTTGGCTCAATGCCTGAAAAACCTTCACAGGCCCACACTGACGAAGCGCCTTGGAGGCCCTAGCCCCGATGCTCGACTTTCGACCCAACTGTAATTTTGCCGTCAAAGGATCTTTGTAGTGGACCTGAGCTGCACATACTTACTCCAAAGTTAAAGCTCTTCTGAGACGGAAGATGTGCTGGCATTCGGAATATGCTACAAGGTTGCTTTGCGCGACACTGGGACGGAGATGTGATCGCTTCGCGCCAGAAGATCCTGGTTTGCCCTCCAGATCTCCTGCCAAGGACTAGTTGAAAGCGCTTCCGGAAACTGTAGCTCCAGGTTTTGCCTCCACGAGATCGGAGATCATCTTCAGCTTGTGAGTTTCCTGAGGCATTGACACGGTGTTACGGAGTCACGTGACATGGTCAAGGTTGCAGCCCGGCTACCATTCTCTCTGCTCTTATGTGCTGCAGCGGGCGCTTGAACATTTGGAAGCCTGAGCTCTGTGGCATGACAAGGTTCAGAAGTGAGTACCGCCAGAACTGTCCAAGATACGCCGGGTCTTGTTGGCTGCATCAGCCTCAGCAGGAAATCCATTGAAATGGGTTTTGAATGTACTACAGTACCTTCTTACTTACCACCTGTGCATACCTGAATGCCTTTTCTCTGCACTGCTGCCTCACTGTCGCCTGATGCATCTGAGCCACATTTCCGCTGTTGACCCGATGAACGTGGCCTTCTTCCTCAGGTCTCAAGTGGTGCAAGCGTGGCAAAGCTGGAGCCCGACTCTCGTCACAACAACTCCACAACTCCACGAAGGCTACGGCCAAAGGTCATCCGGATCTGGCTCCAACTGTGGGAGTGGCTTGTACCAGGTTCTTTCCTGAGGCTTCGATACCTTGTAGTAGAAGTACCGGTTCACCTCGGCCCCAATAAACTCTCTCCCCGCTGCCTTCTGTGTCGGAACGTGGCCTGCGGTCGCCGGTCCAGCACGGCTCGCCAGCCGTGAGGCAGGTCCGTAGGCTTTGGCGGAGGCTCTATCGATTCGTCCTGTTAGGGGTGCCCAGCCCTATGACCCCAAGCACCACACACATCCAGCATTCAGAGTTACTGTAAGCTCGTCAAAATCTCCTCCTGAGGTGGTAGGTCCGGCAAGTCGATTGAACAGCCGGCCGGTCTGCTCCAGCTAGATCTGCCGGACACCTGCCACACACATCGTTAAAGCAACGCGGCTCTTTTCAGCTCAACCTCGGCCTTGTCCAAGTAGTAGTAGCGCTTCTTCTCTGGACTCCACTCGTACTCCCACTCCGCACCGGACATTGCCATGTCCCCGTCAGCTCAAGCCGGAGATCTCCGCGGCTTCCCAAGAGAAGCAGCGCTGGAGTGGAGGCAGAGGAAGGAGTTTCATGGCGCTCGAGAAATGGTTGCAGGCAGGTTTGGAAAACAGATCAGGGGACGTAAATTCACTCCGCTAGGCACAGACTAATGCAGCTGCCAAGGCTGTGTTCTGCACACATTGCATCCTCAGCACGAGGCACTGCTGGGCTGCGTCCTGAACAGCAACAGAACAACTGACAGAAATCAGCGAGACCGCTTGCACACCTTCCCCACTCCAGCGGAAGTACAGCCGGTTCGAAAGCACCACCTGCAGCCCGCGTACGTCTCCTCTACAGTATTTGTTCGGCACAGCACAGACATCCTGCGGCCCGCACGCTGGCGACGTCGTGGTAATGCTGCAGCTCACGTGCCACTGGACCCTCGAGTCCTGAATTCAATCCGAGAACAGAAACTCCCAGAAAGGCATTCACAAGATTCAAGTTTCTGCGTGCCTTGGTTCGTCACTGCAATCAGAACCTTGGCCTGAGCACACACTTCTCTCGCGATCCCCATGATGACTTCCGAATTCCAAGTCTCAAACTCCGTCATGCAACCATGCATCTACTTCTGCCAGCCTGCTTTGGTCCTTGCAGGTGACCCCCCAGGAGCCCTAGCCCAGGTCAAAGTCGGCCAGACGCAGAGAGCCTGAACGTTGCTGGAGGTACTCGTAGTCTGCTCGGCCTGCTTGAGCCTGGCGGCACTTTGACAGGAATCCTTCCTCGGTAGCTGCGATTACATGTGCTTCATCCAAGGTCTGGGTGGCGTACTTCCTCCTTGTCACGCGCAGTGCCGCCTCAATTCTGCAGTGACGCAACAGAGACAGTCAGCAGTCCAGCTATGGACTGTGGACTTATGTGTTGTCTTTGTACATGCTGAGCCTGGAACTAGTAGGCACATGCCGAAGCGAGCTGGGTGCTTCTGCGTGCAAGAACCTTGACCGCAAAGGGTCGAAGCCTAGTCAAAGTCGCTGGCCGCTCGAAAATTCTTTCTTTCGACGCATGACACAAGGCGGGCCTGCACTTGCGGCCGACTGCGACGGCCATGTCCATCCTGACGACAGGAATCCAAAAATGTCGCTGGCGATAACAGAATAGTACTGACGAGGCAGGATGGTATCAAGCAGACAACGACCTCTTCTCCTGTTGACACCCCTCGCCTGGATCCGGCAAGACTGCCGGCACTGGAGCTCAAAGCTGACGCAGCTCCAAGAGTGCGCAATCATGAGCGCAAACACCCCATTGCGGCTCTACCCCATCTTTTATGAGCCCTCATGCCCCGCAGTACCGTTGTCCAGTTGTGAATGCAACCAGGTTAACAACTGGTCTGCAGGCTTCCTCGCTGGACACCGAAGCCAGGGTCTTTTGCTGGGTGGAAACGATGAATGGCATTGTATGGCGGCGGCGCAGCAGTCATTCGGTCTTTGGCTCTGCCTGAAATCAAGCAGCGGTGTCACACAGGTTGACAGGAATCCCATGCAGCAAAGGCACTGCCTTCTCCGTTTTGTGCAGTGACCTCTCCAACGGCATCACAGTCGAGGAGCGAACCTAGAGTTGCAGCGCGGATTTATTATGATGCATGTTCATGCTTCTGCTAAGACAAGCAGCTGGCCAGGCAACACAGCTTGGACTCCAACGTAGTTGATGGCAGCCGCGATGTTCACAAGCGCAACAGAGAGCAGGACTACGTCCCAACCTCAAAATCTCAGTGCTGCCTCTCAGAAGGGCGCCGTGAGCCTGTTTCTCTCTCTGCAATTGACTCGATTGAAGTGGAAACTACCGAGCCCTCTGCTTTGAAAATGGTGAAGCAAGAAAGCAACGAATTGTGGCCCAACCTGTGCCCGGGAACAGAATCTGAGATACCAGATGATGACAGCGATTGAGGCCAGAACCCAGGACGCAACGGTTCCAAGAGTGTTGCCATATCCGCTGATGACCTCAAATACGACGGGCCAACTGTGCCTACATGTAGTTTGCTTCAGGCACAAAGAGGCTCCAACCCCAACGTACTTTTCGGTGATGTCCAAGTAGTTCGCCTAACGTTCGACGTTGATGATGTGGAGCTGGATCACACCACAGCGTGCCCCCCGGCCTTGAACCCACATGGGGCTAGGCCGAAAAAGGCGTTTGCAGCACTGCATAGTGCGGTGGAGACCCACCTCGGCGAATGCCCCGTAACCAGCAACAGAGACTTGCCGACCCTTTTGCTCCCGGCGGATTGTGACCACGCAAGCGGTACACCTTCAGAAGCAGTAACGCCGTGCCACACCGTGGCACATGTGGCTAGCATCAGAGTCTGCTTGAGGCTTGCACCGGCAGCAAGCAAAGAGCGGCCAGCAAAAAGCCAGATGCAGTGAAAAGACGTCGCATTGACAGCAGGCTGATGCCTCTCCTGCAAACCACCGATGCCAAAGAAGTCACGAAGAAGGCATGGGACCATGGAAGTTTATTCCTCTGCTGGGAAAGCAAAACCGCACTAGGAAGGTCCTCTCAACCAGCCTCACCAGCAAAGGATTCCTGGTGAAGGTGCAGATACAACCCTTACCCTTCTGCAAGCGCTTTTTAAAGCCAGGACACACCGATTTGCATATCAGGTTTGTCACATGGGGCAGCATGAGGTGGTACTTCGCCTGCATTCAACACCAAGCACGGAAGTAGCAGACGCCTCTGCTCCCGTGCCTGCTCTGGTGTCAGCTTGAGGACCTCACTGTAGTAGGTCGGGCCTTCCGGACATGTTTCCGGTCAAGTTCTGACTCTCAAAATCCGCTGAGCAATAAGGCCGTGGCTCCAGTTGGTCAGGTAGTACCTTGCACCCCACCGGCTACCCTCTGACTCATTCGGCCACAGCGACTTCTTGCAAATGTCAGTGTTTCTGCTCCGCAGGACGCCCTCATCATCACAGACATCGCATCTATTTCAGCTAAAGGATGACCGTGTTTCGTACTCCAACAGGGCACTCCATGCTCACCCACGTTGCACAGTTTGGACACAGAATAGCAGACAGGGGTTCGTGCGAAGGGGACAGGATTTGCCCACGTCGTGCTTGCTTCCGAGAGTACGCATCGACTCTTCCCTTTACAGTTCCCGCGAAGCTTTGCAATCAATCCGGTCATGAGGGCACGCACCGTAGTTGAATGCAATGTGGGCCTCAGCAATCCGGCACGTGTCGCAGTTGCAGCTATTACTCTCCTGACTCCGCTCAGGCTGTGGCAAAGAACACAGCCCAAAGGCTTTGATGCAGTCCCACAGCCATAGGCATGCCCAGAAGTCCTGATCCTGAGCATCTTCCCCTTTCTACACACGGTGCCGCACACTCCAAGTATGGACGGCACCATCTTGATCTGGCTGCTGGCCTTGGTTATAAACTGGCGGATTATCTGAAACAGCTGCAAAAGCTGCAGGTCGGGTCCTTGGCTAGACTTCTTCTGCTGCTTCGGAACATTTGCCTAGCATGCAAGTAGCACTGTAGCAAGCTAGCCCGGCACTGGGCTGCGAAGTGAAGCCGGGGAAAGCTGAAGCGACCTCCAGGAAAGCTAACTCTTTTTTGGAGATGTAGAAGCACCTTCGCAGTTCAGGCGTTGAGGCAAGAACAGCTCCGCTTCCATGCACGGACCGTGCAAGAGGTTTTTTTTTACAAATCCGGAGGTTGCTCGTCACATGTCCTCACAAGCGCAGCAGACCAAAGGCCTCCTCCGACACCGAGGGCCACTCGCGGGCAGCACGGCTGAGAGTCTTCACAATCCACCATGTCTTTGAGCCGAACTCTATCCTCTGGCAGCAAGTCTTCCCCGGCCACCTCTTCTAGCAGCAGGCTGCCGTGCCAGTCTAAATAGTGGCCGCATCGTGACGGTTCCAATGCCTGCACATACATCCAAAGCAAATCCGGGTCTACTTTGGCCATCTGCTGAAATAAGCTCCATGCCAGCGATCGCAAGCTGTTGGCAGCCGAGGGGTTAGCAAACTTGATCGCCAAAGCGATCAGCTGCTGCGAAATCCCTCTCACCAAAGACGAATCTCCTGCCAGAAAGACGAGAGCGTCGAGCGCTGCCCATTGCATCTTCATTGTGGAAGACCACTCGGGCGAAGTCTTTGCACATTCTGTTGTTTTGAGACTGTGCCAAATCCCGGGCCAACACTCGCTGAGAAACCGACGCTTGATGAAATCACCCGAGAGGCGGGCCATGTGCTTGAGAAGGACGCAAGAATCTGCTAGCACTGCCATCGCAACACCGTCAGAAAAGGAGGGTGTCATGTGCTGCCAAACACTGTGCACATGCGGCAAAAGGTCCTTCACCCGCGTTGAGAGGACCGTGAGCCCATGAATGACAGCAACATGAGCTAAATGACGAGGAACGGCATCCGGAGACTGCAAAAAATGCCTCACCCACAAAACGATGCTGGCAGCGACACGGCGTTCCTGATCATACCTCCCTTTGGCTGGCGCCTCGCGCTCGGTCGCTTCATCTTCCATCTCCTCCGCATCTTCATCCAGGTGCTGACCGAGGTCATGCAGGAAAAAACCATCACGGCGGCGCGGCGGCTTCCATGGAAGGAGGACTCCAGAAAAGAAAGCGGAGACCGCCGTGGTGACTAACTTGGGCTCAGAGACATCCTCTGACCGGAATCGCGACCCTGCGGTTTCCAGTCGCTTCTCGCATATGATCAAGGCCAGACGTTGAACTGTGCTGGCCAGGATGCGGAGGACCCAGAGGGACTTCTCGCTCGCAGACACCATAGTCAGGAGTGCATGAACCACGTCAACCAGGAAGGGAGTCATCTCCAGACCTCAAAGCTGCCAATGCACTTCATCCCCAGTCATCTACCAGACTCTGCAAGCGAGCGTTAGATAACCGAGGCGGCGACTGGCGTGCTGAACAATTGCAGTTAGCAACAGTGGAAGGGACTGTTGGCTACAGGTTCCGAAGCGCAGCTGGAAGCACACGTCCCCGGCCAGGTAGTCCGCATAGCTGGCCAGCAACGCCCCAACCTCCGGCTACAAGCTGCATTACACATGCTAGCGTGCATTCCGTCAGATGCTGCAACAGTTGCCGCAGTCTGAAGTTCGTGGGCATGTTGCACTGCATGGCTGCAGTGCTTCAAATTTTTGCCAAAGCCTTATGCCAGGTAGCTTTGCAGCCAGATGTTCGCAGTGTGCCTTCTTCCACCAGGAGCCCATGCAGAGTGGTCAAGGTACCTTTGTTCCGAAAGCTGGGGCTCTGCATGGCTCTGCACCGGGCCGAGGAGATGCGGCCGAGCGACCATGGCTTGCCGTGGAAATCACCAGGGATGCGTTGGCCAAGTCTTCCAGGAGCGGCTTCAGTAGCCTTTTCACCTCTGGCACGAGGAAAAGCCATCGCGGTGCTCAAAGACTCAGGGAGCAATGCCTTCCCGGCCTGGCGGTGCACTGGCTGCCCGGACAAGGCGAGGGATCGCATCGCAGAGACCATCAAAGCATGTGCGCAGAGCACTTGCAGCCTCGAGTTGCCACGCAGACATCTGGTCAAAAACATTTGCAGAAAGGAAAGAACTAAAGAGCCGGTTGTGCAAAACTTTTGCAGTGAGCCGGGGAGCCTGGACTCCGGGCAGGTTCCACTCACGGCGAGACTTCTTCCGGCAAGTCCAATGCAAAGACTCTGCACGGCCAACCATGCTGGAGGCTGCGTGAAGGCTCCAGCTTCACATGCATCGAGAAAAGCAGCCAAAGCAAACATAGCTGACATGCGCCTTTGTTTCGACCCATCTTTCGTACTTGCGAGCTGGCTTGCTGAAATCGCATGTGATGGGAACAAGGGGAATGGGTCTTCAAGCGTCTGCACCTCCACATGCCAGCAGCACTCTGCATCTTCTGCAATCAAGGCCATTATACCTTCAATACCGGCCACTCTGCCCAGTCTTCCTAGCACCGTCCTTAGCTGCCGCGCGAGACTAACATCACCTCCGGCCAGTTTCATAGCTCGCAGCAACCAAGTGTGTACCTCCTGCTGTGTTGATGGGCCCATGAGCTCCCCTGCATCAAACCTGGCAGGGGTTTCTCCAGCCATGCTCATATCGTCCAAATCGTACGGGAACAGCTTGACCAAATGCTCTGCATTGCTTACAGCGCTTCCGGGCACTGACTTCAGTGGCCTCTCGTCCCGAAGGAGATTCTGCAAGCTAGAAGCTTCAAGACTCGAAGCCTGAAATGCCGGCTCCAAGACTTGATGCACGAGGGCACCCGGGACTTGCCAAGCTATCTTCCCAGTCCCCCGATTCATCGCATCTTCGATGAAGCTTAGCAATCCAGCCAAACGCGCAAGACGCTTTGGGACATGTCTGGCACCCTCTGATTTGGAAGATGCCGAAGAAAGGTCCCTGGCGAGTTTGACCAGCCACTCAACGATTCGACCTCGAACCTGCACTGACGGCTCCTCTCCGAACCCTCTGGCGAGCATTTCCTGCATAAATGCAATAGCCGCCTCCCGCGCAACTTGCGACTCATCCGACAAGCCGGCCAAGACAACTTCAAAGCAGGCTTCCACAGCTTCGCCGGTAACACTTCTTCCACAATGCCTCAAAATCGTGGTACATAAGTCAAGAAATGCCAGCCTAACAGTCGGCTTCTCAGCCCACAAAGTTTCTGCAGCAACTTCTGCCTGTCGCAGAACGGCAACCAAGGCTTCTGAAGTTTGGAGACTGGTCTCCTCCAACCATGCCGAGTTTCGATTCAGCTGAGGCAGCACAGTCTTAGTCTTGCTTCGGGTTCGAGGCGGGAGCTTCTCCGCAACGTCCTCTTCACCATCGGGGTTGTTGTGCTGGCGAAACAATTCGGCGAGAGTCAATGGAGTCCGCTTGTGTGCTGCTGCAAGTAGCTCTGCATTAGGTGCGCTTCCCAGAACCGCGCATATCCATTCGCCTAAACATCTGCAGCTTACAATCACAATCTTGAAACCTACTTTGAACTCCTTGCCTGCTTGGAGCAACAGTTTTACAAGTGCTGTGCAAACCCCTGGGTAGAAGTTGGCAAGCATATCTGCATCTGCCTCTGCCATTGCTTGCAAAACCAGCACACTTGAGATTATCTGGTCGCGAGACGGTCGGCCCTTCGACATGCCGCTGCTGAGCAGTTGAACAGCAAAGTGAGCCAGATACCCGAGCTGTACTTGAGGCAGCTCGCTGTTGCTTGAAACGTACCAGCTGGCGATGAGAACCCGAGATGCTTGCAGGATTTGCAGGACGATCTCCTCTGCTTGGGCAGTCCTTGCATCTTCCCTGAGCAGATCCTCTAGCAGTGCCAAGAGTCGTTCGCAAACCAAGGGAAAAACACGTTGCTTCCTGTCCGGCAGGTTTCCGTTTTCGCTCTCGAGTAAAATCAACAGCAGTTTGAGGGTGTCCTCCAGCAAGCCAGAGCACGGAGAAGGACGTTCGGAAAGCCTCGCAAGGACAGGAGCCAGCACCTGGTCGAACTGACACGGTGCCGACAGAAGCGGCGGTGACAAGGTCAACAGCGCTTTACAGGCATCTCTGGCGACACCCGGATCTGGATCACACATCTGTACGCATGCGCTCGCCATGGCTCGCTCCATGCAACCAACACTTGCAGACTAGCACCCAGGCCAAAACCGCTTCTCTTCAACCCAGGCATCCAACAGCTATGCCTTTGCTACATCTGCGAAGCGGCTAGGAACTCTGACCCGCTGAGGTCAGGCTTACCGTGCTGCGGAGTCAAGCTGCGCTAGCTGCAGCGATGCCGTTGCCCACAGACATACACTTGGTCAGCTCAGCTACCCGAGCGGACCTGGCCGGTTCCTCTGCAGCGAGAACCTGCACAACGTCAACAAAGCCATCAACAGACAAATGGTGGAAAGACTTGTGCAGAAAGCTCACTATTCACTACTACTTTAGTCCGCTCCTGCTCACCGTCGCTCAGCTCTACTGAAGTCTGGAGGCGAAAAACTGCTGCAACCTGCGATTGTTCTGTATCATCACCTTCGGTGGCTGCTCTTGGTCAAAAGATGTTGCATGAGGTGCAGAAATTGCACTTCAGATCTCTCAATTGAGACCATGTATGCCAGAGCCGAAGCATTTGTTGTCTCCCTGGGACTGACAGCAGAGTTTAACTCGGCTCACGTATCGCAGCGACATATCTGAGATCTTCCAATGCCCACTGTCCGGAAGCGGGGTTGCTGCGAACTTCGTCATCGCAAAACTGCCAAACCTACCTTTGCAAATTTAGAAGATAGACCACTATTGCGCCAACATGACGAACTCGTGGCTTTGACTGCTCTGTGTCTCAATGCCGGCAATGCTAGCAATAAAAGCTCGAGTGCCTCGCCTGCCAAAGTCCGACAAATCCCAGGCCTTTGCTGCTGCATAGGAAGCACAGCATGAGTCAGGCCGGCACCCAGGATCAAATGGCGGTGCATTTGTCGGGCTCAGTGCGAGGCTGGCAGCGCCAATGCCTTGGTACCTGGTAGATGTCCGTGACCAGCACATCCACAAAGGCTGGGCACGCAAGTCTCTTTGCTTGAGGGTCCAGGGCTGCAGCGCAAGGCGCCATCCAAACGCAGCAGCCAAACTATTTGCCTCGGCTCAAGCTGATGTGAAGATTGTCTCAAACGACACTCGCGACCGCAAAGCCTCCAGTTGGAGCAATGGAAGCAAACCACTAACGGATTATGTCCGGTGCACACTGACTGCTCATTATATCCTATACGACTGCCACTCGGACTGTCGAAGCTGCCGACCGACATGTGAGACACCGCATGAAAGTGTTCGAAGCGAGCTAACATCGAACATCATCACATCCACCCATCCAGCCCTGCACCTACCCATTCATTCATTCATCCATCCATCCTTCCGTCCGTCCGTCCGTTCGCCCATCCATTCGTCATCCTTCCCTACCGTCCATCCATCCGCCCATCCGCCAATCCGCCATCCATCCGTCCATCCGTCCGTCGGTCCGTCCATCGACCCACTCACCATCCTTCCCACCCACCCAGACCCGAGACTTGTCCAGCTACCCCTCCATCCATCAATGAAACCCTCCAAAATAATTGAGGCTCCATTTTCGCTGGTCAGATTGAGGGTCGCGGCCGACATGCTTCACCCCACATTCCTTCGAGACATGCTTACCCGCCGCGTCCAGCCACAAGGTTGTCATTTCGAGGCCAACAAGACATGAGGCCAATGTTTTTCGCATGCGCAGGGCACTCACTCTTGAGGGTCTTCAATTCCGAACACGAGTCGCCACTTCACCAAACCACAGGGCGATCTGGCGCAATCGGATCACTTCCCCCCACATGGCCAAGCGCCATATACCCCACGTGCTGGCGGGTTTATTAGCTGATTCAGGAGGGCCGAGCTGCTTCGCCCCTTGTACTGACGGGATTCAGAGACAAGATGCTTCCCGAAAGTACTGGTGAGATTCAATCATTTCGAGGCTCAAGTCAGCGCGACCGAGAGACCGTACCGGTATCAACGAGGAGGTTGCTGCAATTGCACTGCCAACACCACGAGGGTTGTCAATTTTTTTTGAAGCGAGCACGAATCGCCATAGCACCACATGCACAGCGCAGTTTTGCGATGGGCTGCGACTCCTGTTCGCCCCGGGCCGCATTAAAAGTAACAAATACGGCTTGATAGGGCCAACCTCTAGGAACACCTCACATCATCTCACTTCATGCCATGCGACCTCACCACAACCTCAGGGGCAACCTCACATCAACATCATCACATCATGCCAGCCAATCCACCTAATTGGAAAAATGCCCTCGTCATGTCTTGGATGAGAAAGAAATCCTATAACCACTCTGTCACTGTACTCTTTTCATAAACGCCCGAGGAGGGTTTAAGAAGGCTCCCTGGCCACGGCCCTAAGGTCCATTACGACCTCTGCAAGTGCCTTCTGCCGCATAGTTTCATCACCGGGTTAAGGTGCTGCCCTGCCGCTTGGCAAAGGTCAACTTCAAAGAACACTCCTTGCGTGCCTTCTGCCGTCCGACCTCTGGGGTCCAAGCCACAGGAATGACAAACAGCGCTCCTGTCATAGCCGTTCGGATCACAGGGCACACACAGGCTTGTAGGGTTGCTTCTCTTCTCCGCAAGCAACCCGCGGTCACGTACCCGATCTGCTCATGCAAAAGAGCCAGGCTTTGGACTCTGACAGCAACTCGTTTGGCGGCCGTGCTTACTATACACATAGGCGATGAACACACCCCATGCTCACTCAAGAAGCTCGGGGTCAACAGTCAATTCTTGCTTCAACTTTGCAAACACGGCGGACTCGGCACCTATCGCACTCACGTCGTATCGTGCATTATGAGCATCAGTTGCAACCTGTTCTCGGAGATACCTGGCTCTGTACACAGCAGGCTTGCAGGGCGCCGGGGGAAGAACAGCCTTGCGATTCGTTAGCGTCTTGCGAACATCAGGAAAAGGAACCAGCGGTGGAGGCTCAGATAGGGGGGCCAATCGATCGCTGGGGCCCATGTAGCGCCGGGCAAAGCCAATGAAAGCTTCGGCTTCGTCCATGGGCGCCTCGTCTGCCACCTTGATGTTCAAAACTTCGTAAATACTAGCAGCAATGGGAGGCGGAGCCGAACGGACGTAGCGCAAAGCCCTGTAGTGTCGAGTCGTTGATTCCAGACTGTCCAGGAACTGATATAAGCTCGTCAAACAATACTCCAGGAGGCCATGCAATCGAAGAACTCCTTGGAAAAGCAGCTCACACCTTCTCTCCACAATATCGGCACGGAGATGAAGACCTTCACTCCATATCGCCAGAAACGCCCAGTCCTCCGTTGCGCAATGAGGCGATTTTTTGGGGTGCAACTGCAAAAACCCCGAGCTGGACGACTCGCCCCGTCCTTGTCATCGATGTCATCGAGCCTGAGACACTCGCTCCTTCCTCCTTCCTCCCCCAACCGGGAATTAGTCTGGCATGCAGCGTCTCTATTGAGACAGGGATCATGCTCACCAAACCCTTGACCAGGAAGTCAAAGGTTATGCTGCCTTTGCCATCCTTGTCAAACAGGCGCATCAAGCCTGGCACTGACTTCAATCCCTCCGCCAAGTGGATTCGCAGACAGCGCGAGAATCATGACGGAGTTGCTTTCAGCATCAAGGACAGGAACCTCTAGGTCCAGCAGCGTCTGGCGGAATTCCTGCTTCACGAACACACGTCTCTCCCTGTTGTGTTGTCCTTTGACCCCGAAATCACAACACTCCCGATAAGTATTCTTCTTTTCTGTCTTCTTCTGCGCCAATGCTTGCTCGTTTTCGTGCGCGTCTTCGCCACTGCCGAAAACAAATCGAGCAATCAAAGAAGCCTGGGTAGAGGTTGGCTGTGCGCGTGGTATCAAGCCTCAAACCATAATCACCCGATACAGGCTTCAAGGGCGTCCCACGAGCAGAGACCCCACCCGCTCATGCATAGCCGTCCGCCAGTTGATGTTTCACCGTGGATTCATCAGTGGAAAAGAAAGCCCAGCTCCCCAGCGGCATCTCTCTCTTTCTACCAGTACCTCTGCTTCCCTCTTGCATTTGGTCTTCATGAATGACAGCCAGAAATGCAACAGCCCACTTCCTGCCCTCGACATCAAGCAGGGCCTCGTTTTTCAGAGCTTGGTCTACCTCGCGCTCTGCGAGCTGACCGTTTCCATCCTAAAGGTCTCAGCGCGAGGATTCGGAAGGCTTCTCGGCTTCGCAGGAATTTAGACTCCCGGACCGCCTCGTCCATGAGCCGAAGCAACGTGCGTGCTTTCATTCCCATCTGCTGCCGGTTCTCGCGCTCCACCTCAGAAGTGCAGTTTTTCAAACGTAGCCGGCACGGCTTGTCTGAGCCTCGCGAGTTGATGTCTCCAAGATCCGTGAGGTCTCGAGAGCATCCTGCCGATCCGATCCGTTTAGCAAGCTTGGCAAGGCAATCGTGGCATCGGTCCTGTACAATGTTTGCGACCACCTACATTGCAGGAAGACTGCGGCCGCACAACTGTGACTCAAGACAATTTTTTGCAGCCGCAGCCGCCGATGACAGTAGGCCGAATGTCGTAATCAGAAGAAAGAACCCAAGAAATCCAGCTATGGCCGGATACCTCAGCTTTCAAATAGCTGTCAGATCACCCAGAGCACACGCAGTGCAAGCTAATTTTGCCATGTTGCCGAAACACAACTGGCCTTGCTATGTGATTTGCCCACTGTGAATTTGTAATGACCTTCCACACTTCAAGTCAATCAAGAAAACATGAGTAAGAACTCTGGAGAAGTTTCAGGAGAAGCGAGTGGACCTGCATCAAGGTAAGGAAGCTCTTCGTAGCAGATCCGAAGTACTGGCGGTTGTCGAAAGCCTCAAAGGCCTCGTACTCCTGGCGGCGCACGGCACATTCACCTTGCTTCAGAGGGAAGGGGGGCGGGAAGTCCTGCCAAGGATCGAAGGTGTCGTTCCAAACGGATGACTGACCTATGACGTAATGCCTGGCAACGAGTTCGCATTGTCTACTGGGACTCATCCATGCACGTCAAACCACAATAGCAAACGTTCGCGTGCATGCACTGCACACACAAACACGCACACACACACACACACACACCCTGCTTGAAGCTTGCTTTTTGAAATAGGCATGCAAGATGCGACATGGAACACGGGGAGGGTAATCATGAGAACAAACACTAGATGAAGTCGCTGTACCGAGCATGCCAGACACGAGGGACAGCACTCAAAACAAGATGACATCGTCCGCGATCCGTAAGTAGGGTACGGGTTCGGGCCCCACCCTCCCCTGACCCTCCCGGATCCCCGCAGAAGGAAATGAAGTTGGGAGTAACCCCGAGCATCCATGTCCGAGGATGGAGATACATGCACAGAGAGAGAGAGAGAGAAGAACACGGGGCAACACACTTACCTTTTTTGCATCCAGGCCTATTGCGACACTTACCTACTTTCTCAAAGGATGGTCGCACTCATGGTTGGATTTAGTCACTCCTCTGTTGCTGGCTTGCTTGTCAAAGCGCCTGACTGCATGTTTGTGAAAACGGCTCCGGTTGCAGCAACCGTACATGTCAATCTGTGGAAACCCGCGGCAAGCTGCATGTCCTGACGTGCACAGCCACTGATGTGAGGTGGTAGCAAAAGTGTATTTAATCAGGAAGCAACAGCAGCGAGGATGACCATGCACAGCGAGGATGCTAGATGCTTCTGCACGTTCAGTATCAGTTGCAGGTACACGCCGGCAGCCAACCAGTGCTTCCCCCATCATGGGCCTGACGCCACTGCAGCCGAGAAAAGGAATTGCAATGCGACTGAATTGCAAAACGACGGACAGTGACCTCCCTTAGCCCATGAACCAGGACAGCACGCGCACGCACAGACACAGACACAGACACAGACACAGACACAGGCACAGACACAGACACAGACACAGACACACACACACACACACACACACATACACACACACCAGCGGGCGCATGCGCACGCGCCGTGCGTGCAGTAACACAGGCCAGCAGGGCGCACAGGCTGCAGTACTCCAAACGAAGACGCACAAGATGAGGCAAACCCAGCCTTGCATGGAGTTCAGGAGGCCACGGTCGAACCCGACGCCTACGTTGATGATGCTGCCAAGCTGCCAAGTGTCTTCATTGTTCGCGTTGCGTTTGAAATGAACGCAAGTAGTTGCGGCGAGGCTGTCATGTACCGTGCGGCACGTGCCAGCCTGGCAGAGAGCTTGGTCCGGCGCTCAGATGATCCCAACGCACGGTTTCACTCGGACTTGCCTCAGGAGCCGCAGGAGCCGAAAGGCTGGCAGCGATCTGAAGGAAAGATAAAGCTCCCACTGCACTGAGAACCAGACACAAGTGTTGCAGATGTTGTTAAGAAGCAATACGCAGCAAGTGCTGGTTGCTCCATTCTTTCCGCCGAAGACACTTCCGTGATCCCGACAGCAGGCAGCGGTAGCACTAGTCATTCCATAGAGGAATCAGAGAGCAGCAGAACTCGGTGCAGTGTCAAGAGTCACTTGAGAGGACGATCCAAGGGAGAAAAGATTGGACCGAGAACGAAAGCAGCAAGATAGAGGAAGAGTGAGAACATCGCAACAAGCAAACAAGGATCCCTGCAGTAACCCTCTTGGTGTAGAAACTAAGCGAAACCCAGGGAGACGGGGAGGGACAGGGAGGTCGAGTGACAGAGATAGCTTCGCACCTACTCGCTCAAATCGAAGTCGTTTATGTAAGTCACCAGTCCAGGCTGAATCGCTCAGAGCTGCGTGCAGCAGGCAGATTCCGCGTGCTGTAGAACTTGCTTAAGCCATCAGGTTTGGCTCATGTTGCAGTGGGAGATCTTGACACGAGTCTAGTTTGCAGCTTCTGCCTCAAGCTATCTAACGATAGAGCGAAACTTAGGATATACAGGTTCGACATACATTTACATACATATATATATATACATATATATATATACATGCATATGATAATATGCACAGGTGGCACGAAGCAGGAGTATGCCGTATCCACAAACGCAGGCCAGTGTTTTGATGTCTTCTGTAACGATAGCCCAGCGCCTCACGTCCGAACTGCTGAAAGTAGCAGCACGAGAAGATGCGAGCAGTGTCAGTCATAGCATAGTCATAAGCATGCTGCGGGGGTTGGTGCTGCAGGCTTAATCAAAAACTCTTCCAGCCAGTTCTGCCTCGCCAGGTTGCCCGTGAAGGCAAACTCTTCAACGAAAACCAGCAAAACAAGAATCAGGTCCTGCGAGGTCTCGATTTCTGCCGCAAGCTTGGCAAAAACTCACACTTTCACGAGAGAAACAGCTGCATGTCCAGTACGGTGAGTGGGTCTTGGAATATCCCGAAGCGATATGTCACGAACCTCAACAGTTCGAGACGCGCTTCTTGCTGCTATCGAACATCTCCTCTTATCCATAGCTGTACTGCCTCATTCCAAGCTCGCCCATGTAAAGGATGAGAAAGGCATTGTTGGCAGCCTTTGTGGAAAAGAGCGTGTTCTTGCGTCATCAACACTTCCCTCTTCGAAGCTGAGACACGATGAAGACAATCGGAATAGTCGCTGCGAGGTCCACCTCCAGGCCTTGGGCGCATAGGAAATTCAGTCCCGATGTGCTGCGAAGCAGCCGCGGCAATCTGCTTCTCTTGCCGCCAGACAGCCGATGCAGACTGCATTCACCACAACCTGAGCTGAGGTGGGTCTGGTACGGCTGGTGCAGCACGTCCGATTCTGAGAATGATTCAAGGAGCTACGAGCCCCATGAATAAGACGAACCAAGCCCTCTCCACAACGGGCACCTCAGCGGTGGGATGCAACATCGCAAAGCGCAAAGTGGTGGCACACCTAAAACTGCCAGTTGAATCCATGGGCCTGCGGCTCACTCTCCGGCTCGACTTTGGTGGCTATCATCTGGGTGGCCTGCTCCTTAGCTCCAGTGCTTTGGACACCAAGGTGGGGTCCTTGCCTCTGACATGCAAGCTCTTGCCAGGGCACTTGCAGAAGGTCCAGAGTTGAAGAGGACGCACCGAAAGGTCTCCGACCATCCTTCAGCTCCAAGTTCGGGTCCTCGCCTTCCTCTCCATCCTGGTCCACAGCTTCGGTTTCATCCTCCAGTTCGAAGAACTCCATGAGGCTCGTCTCTCCAGTCCCCTGGCGCCGGAGCTCGGCCTGGAAACCATGATGCATGCGTTCCCTTGCGGACTTTTCCAGAAAGAAAAGCCGTGCCAGCAAGAGGCTCCCAGCTTTGAGACCCCATTCCTAAGGTGCCGAGGGGAAATAGACGCGGGGCAGAGGCCCAAATGCTGGGCCAAGCAGCCCCTGGAAGCCGCCGTCCACGGACGATGTCCTAAGTTGGCATGCAAGGACCTCTTCCAAGTAAGCTGGGTTATCTCCTCCAAGACACGGATCAATCTGAACCCACCCTGGCGGCACTGTGGCCATCTTCACCCATGGTTCACCAGGTCTTGAACCAACGGCCGCGAAAGCTTCCCCCAACGATGCAATACATCTGCATCACATCCACCCTCACTAAGCAAACTCGACTAACGATTAGTCAAACCTGGCATCGAAGCTCTTTTGGTGAACTGCCATCGACCTCATGTCCATGGACATCAATCAGTCTGCTTGGCTACGCGTGATGCGAGAAATCCACGCGAAGCTCGTCTACTCAGAAACAGCTACGTGCAGCCTGTGCGTTGCTGCAGGCAGCTTGCAATTGTAAGAACCCTCTGGCATGATGGCTTTACTCATGCCTGTCAAGTGCTATCATGTGCTATACTAACTTGAAATCCAGAGCGTGCCTGGTTCTTGGATTCTACGGAGTTTCGCCAGCCAACTGAACACTTCAAGGGTAGTCAGGATCCTGGCACGGCTTGAAGAGTCGCGCCGCCTGTCACGTTGCAAGTCGATGCACCAACCGACAGAATCTTTCTCTACAAATATCTACTTTGCATATTACTTAAACCGGCCTGGCTGGTCGTGTCGCTCAGCTTGCAGCTCGGCTTGCAGCTCGGCTTGCTCCGACTGCTCCGCTTCTGGCGATCGCTGGGAGGCTAAGCTGGCGACCACCAACCGTGCGGCCCGCAGGGGCACCAGCGTGGTCGCTACCGTGAGGCCAGCAACTGTTGAAGCTACCGCAGGGAGAACATCCCGTCCGAGCCGAGGGGGCTGGGAAGGGGAAGCCGTCTCCGAAGGGCTCTCACCTGTGAAATATCCGAAAGCCGTCTGAATTTCTTGGCGCCCAATCTGAAAGTCTTGAAGGACCTGCTGCTTGAAATGCTGTACATCACTGCCAGCTTCCGTGTCGGCGGCGGTTACTGGCACCGATGTCTCCGACTCTGGTACCGGCATGTTGGCTGCAGCAGCCACACTCCGAGCAGCCAGCCGAGTACCATGCAGCGGTATCAGTCGTGCAGAGGCACAGACACCTGCTGTAAATCCTGCAACTTTGCCACACACATTCAAGGCTGGATGCTGTTCTCCACTGGATTTGAATGCCTCCTGCATATCCCGCCGATTCATCTGGAAATCGCTGACCACTTGTTCTTTGAAGCAGGACCACCCGGAGGTGAAGGGACTTTCGGCACCAGCCGTCTCAGCCATGCTGGGCTCGACGAGCTGCTCGGCATGATCCCCTTCCACTCGCGCCGCTCGCGCGAGAGCCTCGGAATCTTCCTCTGGCGCCTCGAGACTCAGCCGCAGCAGCCCATCTTGGAAGGCTAAGGACAAGGCATCGCTAAAGTTGCTCTGGGTCAGCACAGCAGTGACATCACCATCCTGGTAGCGGATGCTGTGCCGATGCGTCTCCGACAAGTCGAAAAGGCTGAGAGCTGCGTCAACGAGCCCTTGGTAGCTGGGCTCATGCTCACCTGGCCAATCCCGAAGCCGACGGACCTCTTCCTGGTAGGACACCTTCAGCGTTAGCTTATTTGCTGCCATCACTCAGGCAAGTGTCTGGGATTGATGCAGCTTGAGTTGAAAAGGCTGCATTTCGCATGACAATACGAAGTGCGTGCACCGGCAATTGCAACACACTTTCGGCCCTGCGTCGCTGCGCCTAAAGAAATTCCAATGTCCAGCATGCTCGTGCCCCACGCCTGTCAGTTGAAGCAATTCTGCAAGAGATGGAAGGGTTCATCGCGCCTTCTCGTCGCTTCCCCCGGGCACCGCTTTGGGCATCCACCTTGCTTTCGGAAAGTGTCACACTGTGGCACGTACTTCAATCTTCTTGGCAGAAGACACAAACAAGCCTACCACACTCTCCTAGGGCTGCTGGTTCACTCCACGTTCTTGCTGGGGATTTGGCTTTGATTGTGCCCGACGAGTTGGGCAGGTGAAGGTGAAGAAGAAAGAAACGGGTGTGCATTTTTTTTTGACAGACAACTTGGCAAAGCCAGCTTAGCAACAAAACTCAAAAAGCAGCACAACCCCTCGCTGCCCTCGCCCATGCCGCGTCGCGGGAGTGCATCTTCAGATGCAGGCCACATCTACACAGCCAACCAGCATGGGAACTAACGAAGTGGAAATCATGCGTACGGTGCACTCCAAAAGGAAGGAGATCGAGCATGGACGATGGGCATGGTTGTCGAGCCAGCTCGCTGAGCCTAGTCTTGAGAGAGCTCGCGCGGAGTCGTAACCCGCATCTAACACACCAGGCAGCGCTGTCATGACAACCCAAGGCCCAAGCATGATGTGGGTGTGTTACCCGCAAATGCTGCATAAACTCGCGTTTGGTGGCAGGTTTCGGCCCGAAAACGCGCGGTGTAGCTACTAGAGTGACGTCTAAGATGGTGCGGACTCGCGGTATGAGGTGTTTTTGAACAGAGAGCAATCTGTCGTCGGTCCACCGGTTTATATCGCCCCAAGTACTATAAGTGGCCTGTTTACTGAGCCATTTAGCTCTTTCTTCGGCAGCAGAATCAGCATGGCAATTGGCCGCATGGGCCCAATCCATGTCACTCCCGAATTGTTGGCGAAACGCATCGAGACTAAGATGGGAATTCACCCAAACAGGACTAACCCTTCTATTGGAGTGCGCCGCAATTTCTAACCAGAGATCAGCGTGCAAAGTGCGGGTCTTCAGCCGCTTGAACCCAATGATTTTACGAAAACCCTTAACAGTAACAAGGGAGTCTAAGCTGACATGCACGTCACCACGGGTACTATCAAGCAGGGCAACAAGGGCCTGAAGCTCAGCCCGGGGGACAGTTTGCTTGTGCCCTTTCAGGAAACCCCCTCGAGTACCCAAGCATTCCCACGTCCCGTCATGGCTCAACCTGACAACGGAGATTCCCCAACTGCAAAGTGTACATCGCTTATCCCGCGTGTTTGGGCCACCACTGCCGTCAGTGCCATAACGAAAGCCGTCTTCATTAAGGCAGTCGGCGAGAACCCATAGCCCAGTAGCTATGCAGGTGACAAAGAGGGAGGATGGCTGAGTGAGACTGGTTGCGATATGCTGCGGTGGTGGAGGCGGACATTCTTCCCGAATGGCTGCGAAACAGCTAGGCAGCATCCCAGCGTGAGGTCGACACGTTGAAAGCAAGTACATACCAGTATCAGCAAAGGCCCGAGCTTGCTGAGATACACCGTGCTCGTTGGGAACAAGGGGCCCTCGACAGGATCCCAAAAACACAACAGCACAGAACAATCAATGACTGCTGCCTGCTGATATGCTGTATGACTGCATGTACTACGTTGTGGCCCTTTGCCTGCACGGCCCCCATCACGGCCATCACACACCACAATCCGGACCTGCTACAGCTTCGTCCGGGGAGCAGGTACTACGATCAGCGCAGGCGCACAAGCCAAGGGTATCCACAACCAAAGGAAGCATCAAACCTGGAAGCCATGCAAAGGATTGCCGTCCTCCGAGTCAGATAACTGAGAGCCGGACAGCATAGAGCACTCAACATCATAGCTGTCGTCATGACCTGCGCCAGGCAGCCCAGGCCGAAGCCCGATGCAATGCTACGAGGCACTTACGTTTTTGGCTCCAAGCCAATCAGCTAGCACACCGCCTGGAACCTACGAGGCCAGCACAGGTGTGGCCCATGCTGCACAAAGAATCACTGCAGCCTGCGTAAAGAAGTATCCAGCCGCTATGGCCGATAACCTGCAAGAGTGATGCCAGCGGAAGAAACACAACAAACGACGCAGAGACGAACGACACAGTGAGTCACATTGCTGGATGTCTGAGACGGCGACAAACTTCCCTTCTGCGATGTTGTTATGTCCATCTCTGCTGCCATAAACACAAGCAGTGGAGATAAAGCATTGCCTGGAGCAACAGCCAGCAGCATCCATGGCCGTTACGGTAGCTGGGCCGACAGAACGATGACCGAGACTCCCGCGCATGGACTGTTGCACGAGGCGGGTCCCTAACCTGAGCGTCGCAGCCCAAACAACTAACGGAACAACTGCAACCATGGTTGCAAAACCGAGGTCCAAACAGCAGGACCCCTTGCACTGTACGCGTCGATACCTTCCAATCATTGTGAATTAACCCGATGTCTGCTAACCCTGCCGAGAGCTTCAATCAAGTATTTGGCGTCGTTGAGCTTCCTGCGACACTCTCGAGGCGTCCAGCACCAGCAGCTGCCACAGGTTCCTGAATTGCCGATCAGGCAGGCTCCTGCACAACTAAGGAACGCAATGGTCCTTCCCACTGTCTGACACTTTTTTGGCGTCGTCGTGCGGCCTGCAATCAGAAAGCAGCTGGGCAGAAACACTTCGAACCCGCCCTCCTGGGCGCATCGCCTGGTGGATGCTTGTGCTCGTGGCTTTGGCGATGATGCACGCTGCCTAATGAGCGGCGTGCTTCGCGACTCCGCCATGGCCTGAACATGCGCAATGTTTCATCACCCCGAGAATTTGATAAACATACGCACATGAAATTGCCACGACCCAACCATCGCCTGCGAACGCACCAAAAGCGACTGCTGCTACTGTAGCTGGCAGACCGCCACCACCAATGCGCCGGAGTTGCTATGACGTGTGGCTTTGTTTCGTGTGAGTGATGACAGAATGCTGCACACCATTGTCCAACAAGCCTTTGCCCAGCACCTGAAACCTTTTGCTGCGTCATGCTGCGCCAAAGATTCCACCAACCTTGTGAGTTTCACTTCTTTCGTACTTGTGCCATGACGGGGTCCAATGGCTCGCACCAAACGGCTGCGCAACGGCTTCTCCTGTGTTTGCCACAGCGACTCGCTGCGCTGGACGAATCTCGTGTCGACCTCGCTTCCGAGTTCGGCGGATGATAACCAGTTCGGGAAGTAAGTTCAGGAACCGTCTCAAACAATTCAGGACCGGGGGGGTTGAAACCCGAAATCCGAAAACCCTAAAGCCGAAACCTAAAGGCCGACACCCCAGAGCCGAAAGCAATTCGGGAGTCCTGGCGCCCGAATTCGGGTGTAATGTATCTGACTTAATGCATTTCGGCCACGCTGCGTCAACACAGATATCCACAGCTGCTTAAAGTCAGAGACCATGGAGCCCTCCCTTCGAAGTCCGAACGACACTAACCCACACAACAGGTCACATGCGTGTAGTCAGGTATCTAGAGTTGTAGTGAATGCACCCGAAAATCTGTAGCCACTAAGGCCGAACCCGAAAGCCGAAAGCCTTTTTTTTCAGCACGGGCTTTGGTTGTATGCCGGCAAGCCGAAAGCCTAAAACCAAAACCCGAAAGCCCAAACCCGAAAAAGCCGAAAGCCTAAAGCCAAAACCATAATGCCTAGGCTTGAACTGTCAGGCAGAAACCCTGAGGCCCAAACCTAAGGCCGAACCGGGCCGAACCCCGACGGAGGCGAAACGACGGAACCCCGAAGCCGAAACCCTGAAGCCGAAACCCACGCCAGGACAGCTGACTCCGAAACCCTAAAGTGGAAACTCTGTTTGCATCCAGGCCGGGTACCCCTACTAAAGTTGAAACCCTTTTGCACCAGGCCTGTTGTAAAGTTGAAACCCTTTTAACCGAAACCTTAAGGCTGACACCCTACACGCCGATACCCAAAGCCCCAAACCCCAAGCCCGAGAGGTACAGTGACTGAATTGTGCTCGAATTATGCCCGGGTCCGGAATTATTTGAGGAATTTTTTTTGTTTTATTTGGGTAATTTTTTTTGTTTTTAGCTTTTGCTTGGGAAAGGGGGGGCAGGGAGGGAGGGAGGGAGGGAGGGAGGGGGGAGGGGAGGGAGGGAGGGAGGGAGGGGGAGGGGAGGGAGGGGAGGGGGGAGGAGGGGGAGGAGGGGAGGGGGGAGAGGGGGAGGGGAGGGGGGAGAGGGGAGGAGAGGGGAGGGGGAGAGGGGAGAGGGGAGAGGGGAGAGGGGGGAGGGGAGAGGGGAGAGGGGCGGGGAGAGAGGGGAGAGGGAGAGGGGAGAGGGGGAGGGACGGGAGAGGGAGAGGAGGAGAGGGGAGAGGGGAGAGGAGAGAGGGAGAGGGGAGGGGAGAGGGGAGAGAGAGAGGAGAGGGGAGACGGGAGAGGGGAGAGGGGAGAGGGAAGAGGGAAGAGGGAAGAGGGAAGAGGGAAGAGGGAAGAGGGAAGAGGGAGAGGGAGAGGGAGAGGGAGAGGCAAAGGGAGAGGGAGAGGCAGAGGGAGAGGCGGCGAGGGCGAGGGCGAGGGAGAGGGAAAGAGGAAGAGGGAGAGCGAGAGAAAGGGAGGAAATGGGGGGAAAGGAAAGCAGGGAGGAAGGGAAGAAGAAGGCAAGGGCGCCAAAAAAGAAGAAGGCAAAAACGCAAGCAAACGAACAAACAAGCAAGCAACCAAGAACTCGAGGAAACAAAGGGAAGAAATATATAAGGAAAGTCAATAAGCACAAAGCAGCAGCAACACAAGGAATAACGGCAAACAGAATAGATATGTAGATGTGCCTGTGTGTATGCGTGTATATACCTCTACTCCGGTCAGACACCTGAAAGGTGAGCCGGCACTTACAAGGAATAGCGGATTAAAAAAAACAGATATGTATATGTGCACATGTGTATGCATCTATACTCCTCTACTCCGGTCAAGTACTTGAAATTCCAGTCAGATACCTGCAAGGTGAGCCGGCGCGCACAAGGAATAACGTCTTTTCGACAGATATGTATATGTGCATCCGCCTGGTTAGAAATGGTCTTTGAGATTGATCATGGTCAAAGAGAAATGAATTTGCTTAATGCACCACTCAACAACGAGGTCATGGGGTAGCGGCTCCAATTATTGCACTGCCAAGCCGCACCGCTGATGCTCATGATGCGCGTGTCTTGTCCGCCCCCAAACCTGGTGATGCTGGTCCTAAAACCCAAACCGCCTGGTCCGTCTCGTTCTCCCACAGCCGAAATCTTGAGCCAGTGAGTGTTTATGAGAGGGTCTAGTGAAGAGGGACATGCGATATGTGATAAGTGCGCACCTGTGCACAATCAAGTGTGACTCCAAGCCTATTGAAATCTTGCCGCACACGAAGCCATGGAAATCCACCCGGACGAGGTGCGGTTCAACCGCACAAAACATGTAATGCTCAAAAAAATCAACTTTTCCAACCCTTGCAACGCACGAAACACTGCTATGCTCAAAAAATTCCAAACTTTTAAGGACTCTGCCCCCGGCCTGGCCATAGATGCCAGAATTTTGGGATTTTTTTGAGCAGTACAGTGTTTCGTGAGTTTCAGGGCTGGAAATTTTGGAAGTTTTTGAGCATCACAGTGTTTTCTGATGTCCAGGACAGGATATATTGCATCACAAGATAATTGTGTGCTTTCAACCGTTGTCAAGGACTGGAAGTAATCTTCTGGAACAACAACGGTTTTCATTGCTCTTGTTAGGTAAGTATGAAAAAGGCCTAGTCGTTGCATAGTTTATTTCATATATGTTTTCGTTGGTTGGTAGATCTATGGCACCAGCAGCACTGGCTCCAGTACCTGAGCTTTCTCGAAAATGGTTTTGGCCATTCTTCGGCAAGCTGCACCGCCTACAGATCCATCACTGTAGCAGCGCAAGCCTATCTAGAACTTAATTCATTTCATGTTGAAGACTGTGGGAAACTGTTTGCATCTTGCTATCATCAGAAACAATGGAGACTTCCTATTCGGTTTCCTATGAGACATCCTCATACCTATCAAGCAAGAGACATGAAGATTCCTGCTAACCCAGAAGAGAATTCTACGATGTCACCTGTAGTCTTTGAAGACTGAAGAGAGCTCTTTTTCATGTTGTGATACGAACTATGACAGCGTTTAAACCACAGTCACATACAGAAGGACCGGTATCGCTTTGTCAGGATGTGAGGGAGGTGTAGAAACCGATACAAGTCTTATGCCTCTTGCCCGTTTAATAAAAGATACCAGTAAGCAAGCTTCTCTTTGTTTCTTGATCACATCTGGGGAGTGTCGCTTGAAGATTGAAGAGAGCTACTTTTTCCGCTACGTTCTATGACAGCAATTAGAGAAACAGCCATGGACATAGCGATCGGCATCTTCTGCGGGGTATAGGACAGCATCATTAATAAGAGTTAACCGAATGAAAACTCATGGCCCTCCATGAAGTGCCATTTTACTTTGTTTTACAAGGTTAAGGAGCCCCTGCCTTGTGATTGATACGTATCAATGCAGCCAGTCGTAATTAGTCCTGCTCCATGTTTGGAAGGTTGCAAGAGCTCTCTTACTTATTGCTGCAGACGAGCCTTCTTGTGCGCCCGCATATGCACATGAACTTTCCAACTCCAGGGGGGCTTTCCCATTTTTTATGAGGCAAAGAACAACTATTGGAGTACTGCTTCAAAAATAAATGCGCCCGTATATTCGACTTCCTCCGTGTATAACGGACAGGACATGAAAGGAGCTCTTTGTGTTTCGTAACTCATAAATCAAATGCTAGAGCTATGAGGCCGCATCAGAATCGGACGCTCACGAGCAGCGGGAAAGAGATGGCCCACGCACACAGACGTTCTCGTAAGAAAGACAATAGTATTTTTATTATTAGAGGAATGTCGTTAAATAACACACCATAAAACGCAAAAAACACGAGGTTTTTTAGTACTACCTGAACAAAAATAGCACGCCCTCCAGCATTTCAGCTTCTCCAACATATAAACTACCATAAATCTGCTGCCGAAATTCGGCGCCAGACTTTTACACATATCAAACCCGCGACTTGTAGCAGTACTGTTTGCATGCATATGGAGTAAAGCACAATTGTATCGGAATTTACGGTGTTTTCGGCATATATGAGTAGTCGACCAATGTAGAGAAGCAACCTGTGGAATTGTGTGGAAGAGGCGGATGTAGACCTTGGGGGGGGGTGACCATATATATATATATATATATACTCTATATTTAATTTATATACTGACATACTACCGACCCTCCTTTCTTCCTTCTTTCTTTTCGTCCTTGCTTCCTTCATTCCTTCCTTTCCTCCCTTCTTGCTTTGTTTCTTTCTTTTCTTCCTTCGATCCTTTTTCCTTGCTTCCTTTCCTTCCTTCCTTCCTTCCTTCCTTGTGTCCTTGCCTTCTTGTGAAGAAGTCAGGAGGCCAGGCCAGGTCGAGAAGCCAGGAAGCCAATTAGTGTTGACGCAAAGAAGGCCAACAAGACAGCAAACCAGGAAGGAAATCCCATAAACCAAGAAGCCAAAAGACGACAACAAACCAGCAAGGAAAGCCAAAAAGCCGAGAAGCAGAAAGCAAAAGCAAAAAGCAAAACCAGTAAAAAGCAAAGGCAGAAAACAACAGGCCAACGCCCAAAAGCCGAATAAGCAAAAGCGAAAAACAAAAAAAAATCACAAAAAAAACAATACAGTGTTTCGTGAGTTTCAGGGCTGGAAATTTTGGAAGTTTTTTGAGCATCACAGTGTTTTC